ACAAGCGCGTCCATGCTCACAGGTGTACACAAGGGTGCTCACACCCACAAACTACACCCTTTTTGGCTCCTACCTCAAAGCACACTGTGTGCTGTCGATCTTATGTGCTGCACAATAATGTTTAATATTTAGTATTTACTGTCATATTCCCATACATCATTGTGATGTTGTTTATTCTATTACTCTTGTTCTCTTCTGCTTGTTTTCTTTTTTCTTTCTCAGCAGGTGATCGATATATGCATTTTTTTTCTCTGCTCATTCAGTTGTTTTTTGTTTTTTGCCCTTCTCCCCCGTCCCTCTTCTCAGCTGTTTCTCTTTCCCTCTTTCTTTCCCCCAGTCAAGTCTGTCCCGTATTCAGCAAGTGAAGATAAAATAAACAATAAAAGGTGAATCAAATGGACCATTACGGCAAGGCTGGGATGGTCAATTTGGTAAAGTAAATCCGTTGGGCATCTTTCTTTGCCTTTAGACAATAATTCTGATGGCAAAAGAGCCAAACGGGACAGGCAAAAAGAAAAAAAAAAAAAGAAATAATTGTCCTGTTGTTTATCTCTAAATGTAAATGTCTAACTGAACCTGTCCTCATTTACAGTTTTTGTGTGAGTCTTCCTGTTTTTTTTTTCCTCTTCAGATTTCACGTCTGTGCCCAAAGTTTGCCCTTTGGTCAGACCGTTTCCAAGAACCCCGTCTTCTTTCTGCAGCTGATATGGGAGATGGCCCAGTACTGCAACAAGCTCATCAGACGCAGCAACAAAGGCAACTTTTGCATTTCACAGCAGCACTTTGTTACTGATTGGTAATAGTGGGCAGTAGTTTGATATAAACACGTTCAAATCAAGTAATAGCATCTCTGCAAGTTGTATTGTGAAGTAAGATCCTGCAGTTTTAAAGAGTAATGTGGGTAGTTGGAAAAAAACAAGATGTTCAGGTATAAGAAGACTGACAACCAGGGCAAAAAATCCAGCACTGCTATGATGTGCTTAATGTTTTGGACCTTAGCACATTTTACTTTGTGCCTTTTTTGCTCCTCAAGTTTTACTCGGTTGCTCTTCAATCTGGGAACTTTATGGTTTGATCCATTTTGGTGACAGGGATGCTTCCCTCTCATTTTCCTTATAGATTTAATATTTACTTAAGATAGCAGCCACACAAGCTGGATTTTAGAGGTAGAGATGCATTCAGAGTACTGCTGTGGTGTCCTGTTTACCATACTATAGATTTGTTTAAGCCGAACAGCAAACAGCAGTGGCATCAGGCTCGTGGCCAGCAGAGGGCGCCCTTTTCGGGTGATGTCGCTTGTGAAAGCTCAGTGAGAGTGTGATAATTGTGTCGCTAACACCCTGAGATGTCAGTGCTCCCAGTTAAACGAGCAGATGAAAACAGGAGAGAATACAAAAATGTATTATATTACCTGAAACGGCAGACTCAGGATCAGTTACAGCAGTTAAACTTACTCCTCTCCAAACTGGATGTTGGCAAATAACAGCAGAGCCAAGTTAATGTGCTCCTGTGAGTTAATGAGTCCCACATACTTGCGAGTTGGACGCTTTCAGAGCTGTTATATTTTATCCTTTTTCATTTTCAGTTATCTACATCTTCTTAATCACTGCGTGCTAGTTTAATGTCACTTATTTTTAAATTATATAGATGGTATTGTATTTAATGCATACTTTATTTTTTTTTATTAGCACCCCTGCGGAGACCACACTCCGCAGGGGTGCTAATTATTCTTGTGCAAACAGTTTAAAGGAGCGAGGAATATAGTGGCGTCAGGGTGACTGTGTGGCAAATGGTTAACATGGTTCAAGGCTTCGTCGGGTCAGGCAGTGGGAATTCCAGTAACAGAAGTATACTTTCTATCAAGGTGCTCCCACAATGCTTCAATAACTTGAACAGCAAATTGCAAATTTGGATTAATCATTCTGGAAAACCTGTTTCCGGTAATTTACAGTTGAGTTCTTATTAAAATTTGGCATTTGGGTTAGCTGCCCTTTTTATGTTGAACGATTCAGGCCAGTGTCAAGTGGCTTAACAAAGAAACAGTCCTGTGAAAATGGTCATGACTGAAGTGAAAATGAGTGAAAAAGCAGATGATGTCCAAAGAAAAACTTTAAAAGATCTTCATAAAGCCCGGAGAACTGCTGCTCAAGACTGCTTAAAATGTCCAGCTAAGAAAAATATGAAGGGTGGCTCAAGACTTTTGCACAGCCAGATATTTTCTGATGTTCTAGAAGTAGAAGTACTTCTACTTCTGTCAGTTATTTTGGCATGTGTTCAGGATGTATGGTAGTAATTTGCGTTTGTTTTCCATTATAGTTCATTCTGTGTATTCATGGTACGTTTAGGAGAATCAGGAGATTTATAACCTCATTCAGCCTGGAAAGTTAAACATTAGACTAAACCACATAGTAAATTCCTAGTTTGCAGCAGTGTTGTGTGCGCTTAATTAACCCTAAGACTTTTGAATGTTTAAATAAATATAAACATTATTTACAGCGCACAAATTGCTGGGGATGATAGTTTAAACAGTTTCAATGTGATTTTGAGGATATTAGGCTGATGGTATCCTGTAATATCACAATATGTTGTCAGCATACGTACTGCATTGATATAACCATTTATTTTAGCAGGTTGCTATAGTATTACTAAAGTGAGTAAACGCTATGTTAATTTCATTAACATGTGTTATTATAGGATAAGCTAAACTATTCACTGGATAGTACTGGATTGTAACCCACAATTGCTGCAGTGTTACTGAGCTGTGATGTAAAATTCAACCCATTTTCCTTCAGCCACCTGAGCAAACACATTAATAACTTAATTTCTTCTCTCTTTGCCTCTCTAGGACTGATTTTAGGTGATAAGGCCCAGACGGGGATTGTGCAGTACGAAGCAGTGGAGCTGCTTTTCTGTCTGTGCTTCTTGCTGGTGCTGTCAAAACACCGTCTTCTCTATAAAGATCTGCTCGCACACCTGCACAAACGTATGTAGTCTCAAAAGTGATGTTCAGATTCTTCTTCCAAAAAATGCAATTAAAATGTTACGCAAAGTACTCTGCAGAAGTCTGAGCATCTCAGTTTTCCTTTAGATTTTGTTGTTAAAATGGAAAATGGGCACAGTGATGAATTAAAACGTGTGCAAAAATACATGGAAATACAAGACAAAACAAAGTGCAATTCTAAAACAGTTGGAATTTGGTATGATTACCTTTTTTCTTTTACGTTTTCTTGTAATTTCTTTAAGGAGGCTTCAGGAATAGTTCTCCAGGCTTCTTGAAGCACATTCACAGCTCTTCTTTGGATCTTGGCTGTTTCTCTTTGAGGTCTGGGCTCTGGGGAGGCCAATCCAAAACTGATAGTGCTGCACTGTGTGTTTTTTCTATCCATTGCTTTTACTGCATTAGCAGTCTGTCTTGGATCATTTTGTTGCTGAAAAATGAGGCTGAAGCCAATTGGATGCTTTCCAGATGATCTTTCATTGTGGATAAAATCTGGCTGTACATTTCTTTTTTTCATGAGCCCAGCAATTTTGACGATCCCCAACACCACTGACACTTTTGTCAGTTGCAGACTCTTGTTCTGCTCACATATTAAGTTGTATTTGCATATCAAAAATAATTTGCTGCAGAGTCACAAATAACATCCAAAGAAGTGCATGTGCATACTATCAGTAGGAGTCTCTTTGTTTCCTCCCTATGTGCAAAAGGAGGAGACACGAAGAGACAGCCTGAAGGGGTCACGAGTTTGTGCACTTCTAGGAGGGGCATCCAGAAGGGCATCTGGTGTAAAGTCCCATATCAAACATGCAGATTTGTTTGCTGTGGTGAACCTTTGAGGACTACAGCAGGATAAAATAACCGCTGCCTGTGTGTATGTGTGTGTGGATGCTTAATTAGGCAAGAATAATTAAAAACAAAATAAAAGTACTACAGTTTGGAAAAATGAAGCTTTTCGATTTCACTACGAAAGGCTGTCCTTCCTGTCGCTTTCCAGGAAGGCTGATTCTTTTTAAATGTGGACTTTGTAAGAGGTGCACCTAATTTAGCCAATATACACATATCATTTTACATGTATAATCTGCAGTTTATTGGCACCTGTCATTTGATTTTACAGTTTGTCACCAAAGAAGGAAATAAAAAGCTTCTTATCTTTATCTTATCTTTTTACAGGAAAGCGCAGTCTGGAGCGGCGTCTGGGGGACCTGAGGCTGGCCAGGGTGCGGCAGGCCGCTAACCCCAGGACTCCAGTCGACTTCTTGGCCATTCAGACGTAAATTACTATTCCTAGTCCCAGTTTCCAACATGACCGCAGAACAATACTCGGAGATTAAAGGTATGGATTTATTTAATCTAGATTCCCTCCCCTTTTTTGTTAAAAACATATTAAAAGCCTTTTTTTTTTCTTTTGCTTTGTTTAATTCTTAAGTTGTAAGTGTTTTAACAATATATATCACCAAAAAAACCTCAAACCAATACATGACATCTTTCGGATCTAGAGTGTCAGGAAACATGTCTGGAAAACACAGTACTTAGTCGTGTGCTGCAAAACACTTAAGTGCTAAACCTTAGTCATAAACGCACACAATCAAACAACAGCAACCTGTCAAGATCGGTAATTGAAAGTCATGCAGCTATTGTAATAGAGCAGGTCTCAGCCCATAGCTGTGTGTGTCTTTGTGGACTTTGATTTACACCTTGTAGTAGTTTTCCATAAAGAGCATGTGAGGACATACGTCACAGAAGTTGTGAGCCATTCACCAAAGGATTGTTTTTTTTTTACTTTTGTGTTACATCACATATGCTCAGTTCTTTAGATAATGCTAAAGTTGTTCAGAAATGAACAAACCTGAAGGGTTCTGTGTTCTTTTTTATTTTCTTTTATTTTTACTATGTTCAACTGTGCAGATTCATATATCTGGAGTCAAAGAAAGGTGTGTAATGGATATAATGTTATATTGGATATATGATATGTAAAAAATATGTAAAATGAAAATTAAGAATGTCACTGTTAAATAAATCCTGTTTTATTTTCAAGGGAAGTAATGTAATGTTTCATATGTCAAGTAAACATCAGAATCTGTATGAAATTCTAGTGAATTTTGATGAAAAGCAGTGATAAACATCTGGATTTTTGCTGTATGGCAGCATTTTTACTCTCCACAGTCCTTAAGCCCTTTGAGTCTTCTGTTCCTGTGTGTCAGTCACGAAGGCGTCGTTGTCGTAGGGATTCAATTCCATCCCAACCGAGGACTTTCTGAATCTGCCACGAAGCAGCTGGTAGAGGGCCACCAGAGGAATGGAAATCACAGGCACCACGCAGAGGAGGATGATTATGGCAAAGACCCAGTCTGGATAAAGCTTCTCTTCAGTTTCAGGGAATTTTTCCTGAAAAGAAAGATCAAGGTGGAAACAATGAAGGACATTTATTTATTTAATTATAAAATATGGTTTAAAATTGGTAAAATGCGCTAATTTTCTTTCTTCGGGTTAAATAGAGCGCAACAACCAGCAAGCAGGCAATTAGCTTAGCTTGACTAATTCAATTCATTTTTTATATTGATTTACTTTATTTAAATTCTATTTTTTATTGCTGTGTCCAGCACTTTGGTCAGTGGTTGCTGTTTTAGTGCTTTAGGGCTAACTTAAGGTTATCGAAACCAACCAAGAGATATTTCAGGCTCATAAAATCCCATAAAGGACTGAGCTGTCATTTTATCCCGCCGGTCTATATTTATTAATCGACATATTTGTTAAAATGTAGGTTTTGATAGACATTTTTAAACTCTTGCTTGTTTGTTAACAGACATTACAGATAGTCGCTTCTCAGGTAAAAGTCTGGCTGCTGGATTCATTTCAGAAGTCAGTTTGATTTTTAGTAGCATCTTCCTTCAGGATAACTCGCTATGACTCGCAGCTCAGATCATTTCACTGTACTCAAATTGTCTCCACAATTAAAAGATCTCAATCCAGTAATGTACCTTTGGGATGTGATGGAACAGAAAATTGGAGCAGTTCTGAAGATAAATAGAGGAGCGAACAAACTGCACCTAATAAAATCTTGACTTATGAGTAGATTCATTCTTCAATTCTTGGCGTTCCTGCTTACATAATCTGGGTTCCATGCTTGATAGGTGGGACGTGTCTGTGCCTGGACAATCACATAGGCAACAAACACCACCAGGAGCAGTAAAGGACTGATCACCATCCAGCACGCCTTCCAAAAGATGTTTGGCCTCCTCCCAGTCATGATATAGATGTCGTCACTGAAACTGGCAGAGGAGACGTAAAACGGATATGAATTATGATTGTTAGTGAAGTTTACAGTGTTATGTTCAGGAAGAAGAGGAGAAAAAGTTACGTTTTCATTCCACGGAAGTAAATAACTCCAATAATCTCAAATAAAGCAATGATGAGCAGAGGTACAGATCCCACGTAACCATTAAACACCTCCACCCAGTAGTTGCCTGAGCTCAAGGTGAAGAGGAGCGCCACCAAGAAGGATATCAAACAGATGACCGCTGCAGAAGTGAAGAAGGTGAAAGTTTAAAAGAGGGAATTCAAAGGAAATTGTTTTTGACTTAAAAAGCACAAGCTGATGTGCAAGTACCTGATATGAGTTCCTTGGGCATCCACCTGGGCAATAGTTTGAGTTCATTGAGGGGCGCGAGGACACCCTCTATGTTACCAAACATGGAGGAGAGACCTAAACTAAAGAGCATGACAAAGAACAGTACGGCCCATACCTGCGAGCCTGGCATCGATATCACCGCTTCAGTGAACACGATAAAAGCCAGGCCAGTACCTGAAACACTCTGAAGATAAAAAAACAAGAAGCTAATGAGGATACTTGAAATGGCAATGTCTGAAAATGACCAGTGTTTGTGGATGGAGGGGCTCGAGGATAGAAGAATGACTATAAGATGGAGTGAGTACCTGCTTAAGTAATTTTTGTAGATCACACTCCCTCAGGGACAGACTCTGGAATTTCTCTGGATATGTCGTATTTAGATATTCATACCAGTAATCGTAGTTCTGCAGGGTTATGTTCTGGTCTGAGAACTCAAAGTAATTGGTCAGAGCCAGGATGTTCCTGCAGATAAGATTTGAAGAGTAAGTACTCAGGATCAGGCAAAGATGTAGTTGCAAAACCCCACCTAAAATAGGCATGCTTACGTACTCATCTTTACAGGCGTTAAAGGCGGTGGTGGCTTTAAACCCCAGGATGGAGAAAATCGGAATGGAGGCGTAGATAGACGTTGCGCTGTTTATCACTCCCACAAGAACAGCGTCTCTCTCGCAGTTGTTTCTAACAACACAAAGAGCGAGAGAAAGACGAGCTTACTAATCACCCCGTGTTCACCGGGGGAGGTTAAGAAGTGTCTGTCCTTACTTCTCTTCATTGTAACTGGAGAAAGATATGAGACCTCCAAACGCCACAGAAAGAGAGAAGAAAATCTGCGTGGCGGCGTCCAACCACACCCGTGGGTCCGTCAGGGTTTGCCACTGTCACGAGCATAACATCTGATTAGGAAATCAGCTGTTTGTGGGACAAAAGATTAAAAATTTCACTCCAACTCACATCAGGGGTGAAGAGGTACAACAGTCCATCAGTAGCTCCAGGCAGAGTGAGGGCACGGATCAGGAAAATAGTCAGCACCAGGTAAGGGAAGGTAGATGTCACATACACAGCCTGAAAATATATAGAAACATTAAAATAACATGTTTTCTGGGGGGAAATGACAGATGTAATGACTTGGGAGAACAGTTTTGTAAGATAGAAACCACATATCGTGATAGCACAGGGTTAGGCGTCCAGTGTTCTGCAACCTATCATTAAATATTAAATGTTTTTGGTAGTTACACTGACCTTTCCCACGGAGTCGATGCCTTTGATGAAGCAGATGTAGACGATGCACCAGGCGCTGGCTAGACAGATCACCATCCCCCACTCCACGGAGCCGCTGATCTCGATGTCAGGTGTGATGTTGAGGGTTTCACGGTACCAGAAGTAATTTACCGGAGTGCTTTTCTTACACTCCAAATTATAGTCTACATGGACACACATACGCAAAAGATTTTGTAGACCAGCATAAGGCTGGAATGGGCCAAAGCACCATCGACAAGAAGGTTGGTGAGAAGATAACTGCTGGTGCGACTATTTGTAAATAGAACAAATATAAAATTACAATTGCCTCAAGCATGGAGTTGGAAGCATTATGCTTTGGGACTATTTTTCTGTAAATGGTGCCAATGTATGGGCCCACGTACTGAAACATCTTGGATGAGAAACCCGCAGCTGCAACACTGAACGTTGGTCACAAATCGGTCTTCCAATGTGACAATGACCCAAAACAGATCTTTATGGCAACAAAACAGTGGCTAAAGAAGAAGCACATTAAGGTCATGGAGTGGTCTTCCTAGTCTTCAGACCTCAGTCCTATAGAAAATATGTGGAGTGAAACTTTGAGTTGCCAAACAGCAGCCACGAAACCTAAAAGATTTGGAGTTTCTGTAAATAGAAGTGAACTAAAATCCTCCTGAGAATTTTGCAAACCTGCTGACCAACTACAGGAAACGTCTCACCGCTGTGATTGCCAACAAGGATTTTCTCTAAATCATGTTTTGGTGTGTTTGGTATTGTGTCTCTCCATTAAAATGAAACTACCACAAAATACTGTTCATTTGTTTAAAAGTGTGTAAAATTACAAATTCAGCAGAGCGTCAACAGTCCCAACACTGCATCATCATTGCTATTTACTTGTTCATCTCATGGCTTAGTTGCACCTATCTTTAAAAAAAATCATTGTCTTTTTTATTTTATGTTGTGGTGCAATGTTCCCTTTGTGCCATAAAGCTGTCCAGCAGTATTTTTTTTTTTTACTGAATCTCTCTTGAAATGCTACCAAGAGCGTGGCAGGCAGCCATAAATCTTTACTGATAATCCTAAACTTTATCTTTGTTATTAAATCTGCAAACAGTGGAGCAGCAGCAGAATCACGGCGTACGGCCATAAATTTATCAAGCAAGAATAATACCGAGGTGTGCTCCTGTCTCACCTATGCGGCTTTCATTTAGTGGGCAGGTGCTCCACGGCAGGGGTTCCTGAAAAGAGTGGAAGAAGTACCACAGCACCCAGGCCAGAATGGTGTTGTAGAAAACGCCCACCAGAAACGATACAATCAAACAGGCGATGCCTGCACATAAGAAAGATTTTTTCAGGTATTAATTTTATTTTTTGAATTTAAAAATGAGGAATCTTTGACCGGTGTCAATTTCAACAAAAGAAACATTTATTTTTTGGTTATTCTGTTTTACTTTCTACTTTATTATTGTACATGATACAGTTGACTAAAGGGTTGAAAAACAACTAAGAATCTTAGATTAACTAATATGTCGTTAAAATAAAGCAACACACTCGAATAGTATAACTGTAGAGTACATAAAAACTATTACTTTTTGGGTTACCCACCTACTCCACCGATTACGGGATTGATGGTCTTCCAGACACCCACGCTGCCCTTCCGGAGCCTCTGTCCTACAGCCAGCTCAAGGAAGAGCAGGGGGAGGCCCTCAAACACCAGCGCTATCAGGTAAGGGATGAGGAATGCACCTGAAGACATGAAGTAAATATTTATCTTACAGTTAGGCATTTTTATGATTACAGTGCAAAGCTCTGCTAATGAAAACACACTGGGTTGCTGGGAATCGGGCTGACTTTTTTTTTTTTAAAAAAAAAAAGAAAAACCCACTATATTTACAAAACTTTTAAAAAATTATTAACTTCTCGTGTCACCTCGCTGCTTCACCGTACGAGCTCCAAACCAAACAAATCTGAGGGGAGATTAACAATAGAAAAACGTGACTCAATTAAACAGACTAAGCCAAAGTTAAACAGACGCTCAGCAGATTTGAGAAACAGTCTTTTGGGAAGTCAATATGTGAAGGTGATAGAGCCCACACACATTTTCTGGACTGGCTGTTTACACAGCCTGACCCAGAGCAGGCTCCTATAGAACTCCGTGGCATGAGGACTCGGCGTATCTCTCTGGGTAAGTATGAGGAAGCAAACAAAGGTGGATATATTCCTCACAAACAGTATGTAATGATTCCCATGGTTAATCAGGTATACATAAAGTTATTCATTTCCAGACAGGTTCAGGGACCGACCCGGTTTGTTCGTTAATACCTACTGAAACAAAATGGAAATGCAAACCGATTAAAGCATCTCTACACTGGATGATTAAACAGGACTCTTACAGATACTCTTACAGTAGGAGCGATGGTGTAAAGTGAGTAAAAGGGCAGCATCTCACCTCCTCCGTAGATTTGGCAGAGGTAAGGGAATCGCCACACATTTCCGATTCCCACTGCAAAACCAATACATGTCAGCAGATACTGAGCCTTGTTGTCCCACTTGGGTCTCTCCTCCGGCCCAGCGTCTTTTCCCATCCTCAGCTGGAAAAAAGACTCAGTGCAATTCCAGTTGTGTTACAAAAATACACCTAATGGAATTGTAGCATGCAGTCTGATCAAATTGCATATATTTTGTGGTTAGTCCAGAATTCTCCTCCTGCTCCGTACTTTGGATGAATTACACTCCTGATTGGTTCGGTCTTCGTGATGTTCAGCACTCCTCTTTCATCCTCTGTGCGACCCTCCCGTCTCTGAGTCAGAGGTGCAGATTCTGTTCTTTTTGAGACATCCAGCCAGCAGGAAGTTTGGTGAAACACTTGCCAGGGTGATTTAGTGGTTTTACCTCCCTCCCGCAGAATGGGAGTGTGCTGAAACTTGAATTAATGGATAACCTGGTGATGCTTTTCTCTGCTACACCGACCTACATCAGAGCAATCAGATACAGGGTGGAAGAGACATCAGGAGAGTTGTGCCGAACAGCTAATCAAACATTGTTCTCGCATACAATCTTCTTGCAAAATGAGTGAAAAGGTTACCGGGTCTTTCTGTGCTCTAGTTTGAGAATAGATGTACGCAAACCTAAATCTGAAGTGATGAAAGTCGATCTAATCAAATGATGTTTTTGATACATTTCACCATTAAGGGCATTTTTTCCAGACATAAAAGTCAATAATAATTTGTGTCCACATTTCTTACCTGTACCTGTGAACTCAGGTTGAGATTTAAACTGCAAATCCACACTCTTCCTTCCTCAAATATGATTTTTTGAAGTGTTTTCTTTCTCCTGGCCAGTTGACATTTCCGTCGTCACTTCATGAATCCTTGTGTTGCAGATTTTTATGCTTAGATGCAGGCTTGATTGCTGTCTCTAGCTCTCTCTGATATTGCTAACATTCATTCCTAATCAAGCACACCAAAGCTGTCCCATTTCCTATATTATGGTCATATTAAGCAGCGATGTCCGCTTATGCATTGAAAAGAGCAAAAAACAAATCCAGCCAACGGTGTCTCAGATATTATGTGTGAAGTTTCTTTCACTGGCTGACTCTGCGCCGATTTTAATTCAAGTGCTCCGGTCAAAAGCCAAACAAGTTAGGCGTTACTAAACTGCCCCATCAGTGTTATATATATTCATGTGTCAGTCCTATTGTAGGAGCCAAATAGAGGTTTCTGGCCTACATCCAGGGTGCAAGGAGCACAGAATAAAGTCTGAAGGAGCAACTGAAGCACTAACAAAGAACTATTTTATTGCCTGACCTGCGCATTTCGACATCACGCCTTCATCACGGGTCATCATAAAAATCGATTTCTCAGGACATTTTTAATAGGCCAAGCGCAGAGTGGAAACATGACGACAGCCTATGTGAACTTACAATAATTTGCTGGTCCTTTGGATCATAAAGGGGAGTGTCTAATACATAACATGTAGTGGCACATTTAGTCGATGAGCTGGAGGTGCAATTATGATGTGGCGGTAAGATAATAATGTGCTTGATAACAAGTGCAGTTTGCACCTGAAACACCTTAATTATTATATATTAATTAATTTATGTTATGTTTAATTAGTGGATATATCCAAACTGCTTCTCTTTTCCCGGGAGAAGTGACATCATCACCTGTCAAGCATAGACATATTCAAACGTCAGTAAATTTAGTTAATAATTCTCAGTTATAGTTATTAAATCTTGCAGTCATCGGATTCTTTGATGTCTGAGTATTTAAAAATAAGGATCAAGTCTTTTTCAAACATTTGGTGACCATCTTTTATTCCCTTGTCTTCAAATTGATACAGTTCCACACGGCTGGTTTCTGCCACCTGCTGGTATGGATATGCTTCTGCAATGCATTCGGCATCCATCCATCCATCCAGCCATCCATCCATACACCTCTACTGAGCAGTTAAATGAACTAATCCTCCAATAACTCAACAATAATCTAATGGCAAAGCTTACTTAAATATGTATTCACATGTCAAAATATGTTACATTTTATCCCCACCATGACAAAAGTGCACTGATGAAAGAGACATGATGCTTCTGATGCTGACACAGTATTTAAATAACTTTTCCTTTATTAGACAAAATAAAATATTTTTGCCTGACTTGTTTAGGCAATTGTTTATATCTGATTAATGTCTTTCTCTGGCTTCATCTTTTTCTTGCAGCGTACAAAAACCAGCCTGCACAAGGCATAGACAGGCACCACCAGACTGGGAATTCCTGCCAAAACAAAGATGACCACATTGATCCATGAAGGGTAAGGTACTGATGCCAGAGTTGGAAATTCATCCTGCAAACCATAAAACAGCACAATGAGCAAACAAGCCTGTTTTCATTACTGTTTAAACTTCACACAAGCAACTATTGCAAATATATATAAAAATTAAATGAGGGGCCCCTCCCCCACCTGAATCCCTCAGCTAACTTTTTTGTACTACAATAAAAAACACATTTAAAAAAGCCATGTGCCACCTTGATTGTCATGATATCAATAGGGGGCTTCCAACTGGTCATCATGAGCTTGTGAACCTCAGTTGGTGCCATAAAGTTTGGCTGGATGGAAATATAATTTGTTTGACTCAACCCTCCAACCCGACACGCCAATTAAACAGCTTGCAGCTCCGTTGATGAAACCAACAGGGCGAGGCTTCCTGAACTTTTTGAACCCAACAGGAGAGTTGAAGGAGTTATTGCAGCTTTGCAATAGCTGTCAACTCCCCGCTTCAATCCATGAAAACAACCTGTAAACCTGTCCTGTTGTCTGACAATGAAAATCTGGAGGTTTTTTTTATATTAAGCAGGTAAAAATGAAATTTCTTCATTAAATGTGGTAAAATAACATAAAAGAAAAACAGCTGATTCTGAGAGATAATGTTGATTGTTTTCTTTTTCCTTTTTTTTTTCAGATTTCACAGATTTTTATAAGAAGTGGTCTTTGTGAACTCACGTAGTCGGGGTCCCAGACTAAATAGGTGAGTTCTTGTTGGGCTTGAGTCACCAGGTAGAAAACTAAAATGACCAGGAGGATGAGAGGGCTGGTGAATCTCAGGGAAATCTGCCAGAAGATGCAAGGCTTCTTTCCAATCATGAACTTGATGTCTTCATTGAACCTGTCACACAAGAGGGTTTTCATGAAATTAAACTTGATTTAATTCATGGAATTATAACTTTATTTAAATAAAACAAAAACAAAAATGAAAGAACAAAAAGTAAATAGACTCATATTAAAGTAGAACCAATACAAAGATCAGTAAACAGTAAAGTTAGAACCTGTAGAAGCAATGTGCAAGGTGATTGCTTTAAGGGACAGTCTGCAGTGGTGGATGGACAAAGTTTCAAATGATGAGGTCAGCATGTGTACAAATGATCCCTACTTCTGCTTTTATGAAAAGTTGAGCGAGAAAGGATAACTATCATCTCAGACACACGGCTCTGGCTGTGAGCAAAGAAACTCTGCACGCATGTTGTTCAAATGTTATGTTTAGGAGGGGCAGTCAGTCAGAAGGAAGTTGTTTTAAAGGGCATAAAAAGAGGGTGGGGCTGCACCAAAGACAAATATTGGCTGAATGAGAAATGCTTTTAAACAGTGGATTGTGCAAAGCTACAAATAATAAAAGTTGGAGCTGGAAATGAGCATAACATAGGCTCTTAAATATTTAATTGTTGTCCAACTGTGCTAAATGCACCAAATAAAGATTGATGACAGCCTGATTGTACAAGGTTACAGGACATCATGTTCCTGATTTTACAGATGTGTGGCTGCTTTATATAATACAATATTATCTAAAAGTACATAAACTTTGTGCACTAACCTGTCAATGCCATAGATGTAAACAACAGCTATCATCTCAGTCAGGCCAATGGTCAGCAGTGGGATTGATCCAGCAAAGTTATCGAAGAGAGTTACCCAATAAAGGCCTGACTGCTGTGCAAACAGCAGACAGATGATGAAGGATACAAGACACGTTACTCCTGAAAGACATGAAAACAAGGGAGCTTGTGTTAACATTGGGGTTGCAGGCCGACGTGTTGATTGTTTAGTCTTTGAAACAGAATACCTGTCAGTGCCTCTTGGGGCCATTTTTTAGGAAATAAATTCAAGTCTTTCAAAGGGACTACGACTCCTTCGATGTTGCCAAAAAGTGTTGAGAGTCCGAGGCAGAGAAGCATGATAAAAAACAGGACAGACCAGGCTGGGGAACCCGGCATTTTGGTAATGGCCTCTGTGAAGACAATAAAGGCCAGACCTGTTCCCTCCACTCCCTGAACAAACACAATGCAGATTAGAATAAAAATGGGAAATGGGAGTTTGATAGATTTTCATTAAAATAGGCACCTCACTGAGGAGTTTCTGCATGTCACAGGTTTTAATGTCCAGTCCAAAAACAGTATGTGGATTGGAGCTGTTCAGATGATGAAGGGCTGCATTGTAGTTGCTGGCAGTGATGCTGTCTTCAGGGAGTTCAAATCCATTTAGTAACATCCTGATGTTTCTAAGAAGACATTACAGTTGAGAATAGTAATTACAGGAGTATACATTAGTTATGCAAATAACCTTTTTTAGATTTTTAATTAAAGATGAAAAAGAAAAACACAAGAAAGTTAATTTAGGAATCTTAAATATTACAAACACTGACAAATCTAGGTTAGAAAAATTAAGCAAATATGGAAGAGCCTTAAAGCTGCATTCTATAAAAAAAGCCACCAGATGGCGATAGCTGTGGCACTTTTTTAAATCTTTTTTTTCCAATCAAGATGTCAATGATGAAAATGCTCAACTCTTCATAAACAAGCTGTCCATTTTTCATACATATACATATATACCAGTTAATAATTTTTGTTGTGCTAAAGCTCAAATGATTGTTTTTTGCAAGAAAAATGAGAATAATTTTTCAAAAGTTCCAAATTTTTCAAAAGGTTTTTAAAGTCCTAGTCAGCAAGTTTAGTGCCGTTTACTAAAATGATGTAGCAAACTTTCTCAAAGCCTTGAAATAAGCTTTACTCACTCACTGATACAGGTGTCATATTTGTCAGTGGCCCTGAAGCCAATGACGGTGTAGGTGACTGTGGCAGCATAGATTGAGGTGAGGCCAGTTATAATAGTCAGGATCACCGCATCTTGCATGCAGTTGTTGCTTGGCGAAAGAAAGTAAAAATAGAAGTGAGTCGAATCTTACTGTAACAGTCATGTAGTGATACATTCAGTAAAAGGACTAGATGTTGCAGTCCCTGATAATGCATTGCTTTAAATGGTGAGAGTCTTGAGGGGTGGCTGTTCTGAGGAAAGGCAGCCCAGAAACTGGGGATTAGAGATCTGATCTAGATTATCAGAAAATATAAGCCTTTCTTTATAAGTCTTACTGGACAGGGTTGTAGCTTGAGAAGGAGATCAGGCCTCCCCATGCTAAACTAAAGGCATAAAAGACCTGGGCACCTGCATCCAACCAGGTTGTTGGGTTCATCAGCTCATCCACCTGCAAGGGTGAGATACACAGTGTAATGTGGCTTTGTATTAAGATATTTACACAATGTTACATGATGTATATTTATGATAGAACTTTGAAATACACACATCTGGTGTGAACAGGTACTTCACTCCGTTCATGGCTCCTTTAAGAGTCAGTCCTCTGATCAGGAAGATGGCCAACACTACATAAGGCAGGAGGGCTGTAACGTACACTGCCTGAGGTCATGAAAAGATGTGAAAAATTGTCAAATAACAGCAATAAGACTGATTAAGCAATGCTTGTTTTTGAAAAAAAGTTCAGTAAACCTTTCCTGAAGTACTGATCCCCCGTATGTAGCAGATACAGATGACTGTCCAGGCAGCTAACAGACAGATCACTATGGGCCACTGGAGTCCTCCAGAGTCTGTTATTGAGGCAGAGGCATTCAGAGTGACTCTGTAAAAGTAGTAATCCACTGTGGAGCTCTGCTGACACTCGGATATAAAGCCTGAAAATGCATAAAAGTCCACACTTGTGATTAGATATTGGAGACTAACAGATTCTAAGTATGTGCTTGTGTCTTTTCAGCTACCTGTTCGGTTGTCATTGAGAGGACACTGGGTCCAAGGCAGTGGGCCTTGAAAGGAATTAAAGAGATACCACATGATCCAGGCTATTAAGGTGTTGTAGTACAGGCCAATCAATAAAGAGACCAGCATGGAAGCAATACCTGTAGGAAAGGATCATTAACAAACATCACATTTACACAGGACCAAGCTTTCATTAACAACTTTGTGTTCCTGTAGTACCGATAATTCTCCCATTTGTTGCTTGGGTATGTGGTTGTAGAGGCCGTTACTTACCAACACCAGTCAGATAGGGGTTGATGGCCCTCCACACGCCCACACTGCCTTTCCTGAGTCGCTGGCCAATGCCAAACTCCAACAGCAGAAGGGGCAATCCTTCTAGCACCAGCAGGATGATGTAAGGAATCAAAAAGGCACCTGGAACATGTTGATCAGCAGCACAATTAGACAGTCAGAGGTGTTTGCAATACCTCACATACTTAGATACTTAGTAGTGGAATAAGGTTTGGAAGTCAGATGCTATTAAATCTGAGCTGAGCTGGTTTATGCAGGCGATCGTGGCTCAAGAGTTGCAGTTCGTCTTGTAATCGGAAGGTTGCCGGTTCGAGCCCCGGCCCTGACAGTCTTGGTCGTTGTGTCCTTGGGCAAGACACTTCACCTGTTGCCTACTGGTGGTGGTCAGAGGGCCCGGTGGCATCAGTGTCCGGCAGCCTCGCCTCTGTCAGTGCGCCCCAGGGTGGCTGTGGCTACAATGTAGCTTGCCATCACCTGTGTGTGAATGGGTGGATGACTGAATGTACTGTAAAGTGCTTTGGGGTCCTTAGGGACTAGTAAAGCGCTATACAAATACAGGCCATTTACCATTTATCAGCTGTTCCATGTGTGAACATTGATATGTTATACATGTGATATACATGTAACGGCTCTAAACGCCCATTCAGAAAATTCCAGATAATTATGAGATCCCATAGTCACCTATGAAAAATATATACACAAAGATAGAGATCTCAAAGAGAGTGGGAGCACGGTTCATATTCCCAGCAGTGGTGTAGATTGGTGAGCTGCAACCAGCAGTTTAACAAAAACTGTCAGGGGCTTGCTGGGAGATCAGTGACATTAATACTTGAATTTTTAAAAATGGCTTTTTAAAAATGCCCCCCCCCCCAGTGAATGTGTTTCTTCGTTACTGAACAATGCTAGAGTGTGCATGAATTAGACAGCCACCGACACACATGACTTTTGTACATGTGCAGAAGGGCAATTGTTGTTTAAGCAACAACACTGTTATCATAGATTAAACTCTTGATTTCTGAGATGGCATTGCCATAGCAAGTACATGACACTGACAGCTTTTGTGGGCTATCAAGCTAAGACTGGTGGAGATCAGTGGTGGAGTCAAAGCTAATATTTTTTTCTGTTTTCCATGAATTTAAAAAATTATTATTATTATTGTTTATTTGAAGGAAAAGGTCACAGCTTAAAATAAAGCTCTAATAAAAAATCTTTAATACACTGTATAATTTCTGCTTCAATTAAAACGTAGCTTTAATTTATCAAACATTATGTTTGCTCCCCAATAATGATCCTTGAGAGAAGTAAGGGCCCACCCCCCTTTTCCTTTAGCCAATTGTATGGTTTTAAATCTAATTCAGGGCCTTTTACCTTCCAAAATTTATCTTGACAACAATTTGTCCCATTCATTAAATTGTTTGTGGCTTATTTCTATTGGCAATGTTTAAAATAAATATCATAATGTAGCTTTGTTGGGATTCAGACACTTACAAATGTCAAGTATTAATTTCCAAAGCTTCCACTAAGTTTCCTTGACACACAGATTTTGTAACTTTTAAAACTATTTTCTAATTCTTTCTAATTCAGGAAAATGTTTAAAAGACAAAAACAGCAACATACCCACAAACCTCTATAACACTGCAATAAAAAATGACAATACTGTAATTGGAGACAGAAATAATGCGATGCTTTACTGTTTTCTTCTGGCCTTACCTCCTCCGTGGGTTTGACACAAGTAAGGGAATCTCCACACATTCCCAATCCCTACACAGAAGCCCACACATGTTAAAATGTACTGAGCTTTGTTATCCCATTTGGGTCTGTCACCATCTTCCTTTTCCATCTTTTCCAGGTCCTCATAGTTTGGGATCCTGAGATCCAGTCCTGGGTTGGGAAGAACCAGTCTCATGGTTGCCCAATAAAACAGAGATGTTACTCGATGGTTCTGGAAAGTCAAAGTGAGGGCTTATTATAAGCATAAGACTGGGTTGAAACAAGTTTATGATCTTTTGCTTTATCTGGTAAGTGCACAGAGTGCACATTTGCACTGATAAGCAAATGTGCACTCTGTGTCGGTACTGTATAAGTCACAAATTTTAATCAAACATTAATCATAAACAATGGCATGGTAGCTCTCAATAATCCTCACAGTGCTTGAATCTACTGATCACCTGTAATCCCATTTTGCAACTCAGTCACCCAGGAGAAGTCATATTGTTTCCAGGAGCTGATAAGGGAGTACATGAACTTTGCAGGGAACTTTGATGCAGCCTATTATGCGACGATGATAACTGAGTGCTCACAGTTAATGGTGGAAGAATTCAAAGGGAGTCATGTGTGGTAGGAACAGGCTCTAAACCCAAGCCAGCTATTCAATGAGTTAAAATTAGAGTGGAAACTGAGATGAAAACTCCTAGAACCCACCTGCTTAGAATCATGCCACCAGGTTCAAACACATTAAAAGTAAAAAAACAACAACAAACAAAAAGTAAAAAGTGCATCATCTTTGGATATTCCATGGCCATCTCCAAGGCAATCATAAAAATCACCATTAAATGCAGAAGATAACAAGGTGATGCAGTGTCCCCATTGCTGTTTTGCATAGGCCTAAACCCCCTAAGCCAGCCTGCCACTAAGAGTGTATACTGATTCAGGAGTGGAGCAACCATCAGCCGCCTCCTGTACAATGCTGACGTTAAGATGTATGCCAGGAACAAGCAAGACATCGATTTACTGCTCCAACGCAAAAGGCTCTAGAGCGAGGACATATGGATGCCATTTGGGCTGGATAATGTGGCTGAATGTTTTCAAAAACAGGAGATAGTGGACATAAGGAACAGCTACAAGTACCTGCGTATCCCTCCGGCTGATGTGAGCCAAGATAAAGACCCATGAAGGTCAGCCACAGCCAAACAGCTGTAGAAGGTAATGTGCTGAGAAGCCAGCTCAATGATAGGAAGAGTGTGGGTGAGGATTAGTGAGGGTTAGAGACACAATCCAGAATGAAACACAGAGCATCTGCAAATACATCGGGAAGATGACCCCAGAAATCAACTGAAGACAGATGGTGATGAGGAAGTATCATGGAAGACCAAGTCCTTCCTTGAGACATACCATCAACAGATAGAGGAAGTAGCAGATATCTCGAAACCAAAGAGCAGCCAGCAGGACCCAAGCTGCAGGCTGTGCAAAGGTGTCCCTGAGATAGTCCAACATATAGCGGCAGGATGTAAGAGAAAGTTCGACTGAGTACATGAGAAGCACAACCAAGTGGCTAGGATAGTGTACATGAATGTCTGTGCTGCATGTGGACAAGAAAGTCCCCAGTCCTGATAGGAGAATCAATGAGAAGTATTTCAAAGCAACAGGAACTTAGTGTTTTAGCCAGAGAAGCAGCTGCTGGCTGACCAACCACACATAGTAGTGCCTGACAAGAAGCAGGAGACCTCAGATGTGATAAATGAGGCAATCCTGGCATATGGCAATGTCAGGAAGAAATAGCACAAGAACATAGAAGTACCAGGGCCCAAGAGTCCTGAGTAATTTTCAGAAAGAAGAGGCATAATCATTCCAACATATTTTTAACCTGAGAAACCTCTAAAAGAAGGACCCTGTGAAGTTCAGTTCACACTCAGTTCTGACCCCCTAATAAAGCAGCCAGCTGTTTTTACAATGTAAACACTGGACTTATTGTACCCCGTAATTATTCCAGGGCTTCCCAAAAGCAGTTTCTTGAGATTGTGCACGGCATAGAGACCGAGCGTTCTCTATTGAGGCTCCGATGCTTTGGAATAATCTTCCTCTCCATATTAGACAAGTTACATCAGTGCCAGTTTTTTATTTTTTTTATTCCCTGGCTTTTAACTCTGGGGGCAACTGACATTTTTATTAATTTTATTGCTATGTTTGGTTTTTCCTGTTGTATTACTATATTTATATTTGTACTGTACAGCACTTTGGTCTACCAGGTGTGTTTTTAAAGTGCTATATAAATAAATGATGATGATAATGATGATGTTTTCTTGTTCTTACAAAATAAACAAACAACTAAAACCTATGCCTCTTTGATACAAAATGGTAAGACGACAGTAGGGAAGTGACAACATGAAGACCTAATCACTGGAAGCGTGACTGTCAAGAAACCGTTCTTAAGGAAGTAAAGCAAAACAGATTACTCAGGACTTCTGAGCAGAAGCAAAACAGGAAGAAAAGTCTGAGGTATGCCAAATTATACAAGAACTGAAATGAATCAAATTTTCACGTCATATAATTTTCATTATTTATGGAGAAGGTCATTGACAGGTACAACAGTGAGTGTTGACAACCATAAAACACAGTGGAGACTGTCATAGTTTGGAGCTTCATTTTAACCAGTGTTGTTGGGATCTTGTCACAATTACTGGAACTGTAGTATGAACACAGAAAGTACCATCAGATTTTGATCTACAGTGCAATACCATCTGGAAAAAGTGCAATTGGCCACGGCTTCATTTTTCAGCATCACATTGACACATCGTGCAGTGTCCCCATTTAAAAAATCCTTGAAAATGCTCCTGCCCAGAAGGTTGGCTGTTTTGACGTTCAGCACTCAGGCAAAACCGATCTAACTATCAGCTGATCTCTAATTTGCATGCCTTCATGAGACACGTTCACAAAACTTTACCCTCCAGTGTTATTCTACTGTTATTGTTGAGGCATCAGTTTTCACCAAGTCTGCATTTCATTTGAAAGAGATGTGAAACAACCAGCGTTGTAAGTTAAATTATGTTTAGGGTAATGTTCAAACACATTATGGTGGAATTTGCTTTCTCATCTGCAAAAGTTCAGTTCATAAATGTTAATTATACTGTCTGCAGTTGATCTTTTATTGTCCTTGATATGATAATATCAAGTTCACTTGCACAATGATGATCACAATTTTAATGTAAAACATCAAAAGAAACTGATGATAAGTGGAAAATTAATCTGTCTTATTTTATGCATATATCTTTGTTCAAAACTGGAGAAAGTATAATGTTTCCCCAAAAAAGATAACAACAATTTCTTAGTTTATAAAAAAAAGATTGCTGATTTTTTTTTCTATGAAAATAATAATTAGTTCAATTGACATGCTTAGATGACTTTCCTAAAGTCCTTGTATGTATGTAAAAATGTCCTGTACATTTTAAAGTCATAACAATGTACTAAAAATTGATTAGCACTTTATATAGCACACAATTCTTTTGAAATATGTCACCTGGAGTGCAAACCCATACTCACTAAGCACCATTTAAAGCTTCAAAGCTGAACCATGCTGTTTTGGGTACAGTGATTATATAGGTCATTAGTCTATGGGCAAGTAAATCCTGAGGAAATGTATCTTGCTTTAATCATTATTTTTGTGAATCATTAAAGGAAAAGTTTGTCAGTTATCCAAGTGCCTAAAGAACCTAAAGAACAAGAGACAAAGTTCACCTGCAACATATGTCACATTATACTACTTTTTCTTATTGGTTCATTTTTAATTTTTTTTTAAAGGAAATTCTCTTTGTTTCTGTTTCAGCTATCAGATAAATAAAACATACATAAACACTTAATATCCTGTATAAATGTAGCTTGAGTTTGGGATTTCTTGCATTTCTTGCCAGGTTCTGTGTCAAATCTTTAAGTTAAGCTAAATTCTAACACTACTAAAAACAAAAAACAAAAATAAAAACATGAAACTTATATGAGTGTGTTTGATTTGAATATGTCGATGAAAACATGTTCTAAGATTCCTGTTGTCTCTGATTTACCATTATGGAAATAACTGTAAAGATACTAAAGACCTACTGAATAACTATTGCACTGATGCACTGATGCATCACTTTTATGGCACATGGATACAGTCGGCAATACTAAAGTAATCCTGAAGCAATAATGAACTAGTGAGAAGCTGCTATGTATGAAGTTGTAGATCTGTTGCTGCAGGTGTTCTACTAACCCTCCTGTGCACGTGTCCAAACCATCTCAGCATTGCCTCTCTAACTTTGTATCCAAACTGCTTAACTTGAGCTGCCCCTCTTGAAGGAAACTGTTTCCAGGGCCTACTCCGTGGATCGGCTTCCTCCGAGGCGTGGACGTCTATCAGCAGAGAATGTACCTTCACCTATCAGCAGAGAATGTCCCTTAGTCTGTAACACAGTCAAATATATTCTCAAGTAATATTCAAGCATGCCATTCAGCGTGTTAGTACGAGCAGCTCGGGAGCAGCTTGGGAGAACAAGAAAACAGAGACTGCTTTAGATTGTCTTCCCAAAGTGACTCAACTTTATTCACAAGTACAACAGTTTATATAGAGGGTAAAATTCATGAGACAGCAGATTTATCAGTTTAAACCAGTACAGACCAAGATAAGGCAGCGTCTTCCTGCCCTTGGGTGAAGAAGCATCCTTTGTGTAGTGTATCAGTTCAGCTACAATTGTGATTATCTCAGCGACATATTTTCAAGGCACAAAACGAAGAGTTCTTTCTTTAGTGAAATCTGAAACAAACCATTTGGCCTTCAACAGGCGTCTAAAAGATTAAGAAACTAATGTAGCTGAGGGAGTGATCTCTGTGGTATTTCAACCTTGTACCAGCCTGTGATTCTCACACATCAATTCTTGGGTCAAAGAGAAAAACACTGAAACAAAGGGGCCTTATTGAATGACAGAGTTTTCCTGCATAATGTCACTATAAAACAATATCCAGTAAATGCTCCCATGGTACTAAAATACCTAACACCTCTAATATACAAATTTCTTACTACATGGGGGAGTAAACAACCACATCACTAAAACGCACAGATAAAACACTGCCCCCTAGTGGACAGATTAAAAACATTTCTTAATCATTACTTCTAAAGAAATAACTACAGCTGGATTACAATTTATGAGTCTAAGGAAGGTGAATTATTCACAAAAAACCTTTAACACTTAACTATGGATAGAGCTCTACAAAGTTATATTTTGCTATAACTGTTAGCATGTTTCCCATAAAATAGGAAATAGGTGCAGTGATTTAATACAGCTCAATATACACAAGTCAGTATTGGTATCACTATGTTTATTCGACGCAGCCTGAACTCTCTTAGGCAAACTTTTTTGTCCTTCAAAAACAGTCTTCAGAAAGGCTTCTTGAAGAACACTCAAAGCTCTTTTTTGGATGTTGGCAGCATTTTATTTTGTTCTCTGTCAACATGATCCTACACGAGGTCCGGGCTCTGTTGAGGCAAATGCATGACAGAGTTTTCGCTGTGTTTCACAGACACTTGCAGACATTTAGCATGCCACAGCCCCCCACTGAGGCCATTATCTGATGAGGCTTCAGTAGATGGATCAATAGAAAAGCCAGATGCATTTCTCAGACTCTGTCGTGCGTTTGCTGAATTTTTTCCTAATTTCTTAAGCTGGGAAACACACTGGAAGCAATTTCCTTAACATCTCTATTAGAGGATACCAAACTAACAATCTGGTACAAAAAGAAAGAAAGCACCGGTTTGCTCAGCATGTTGACAGAATTATTTTCATGGTTAAGAAAAAAGACTTCACAAAATATAACCATGTCGAGAGCACTCTCGAGGAGGAAGGTGTACCACTATCAAAGTCTACAATGAAGAGACACCAATTTCATGAATGGAAATACAGCGAGTTTACAACAAGATGCAAAGCACTCAAAAAACATTCATGTGACCTTAAACAGTTCTGAAAAAAAAGAAAAGGAAAAGGTCTTTGAACAGAAAATACCCAGATTAACTTCTATTAGAATGATGGGAAAGGAAAAGCATGGAGAAAGAGATCCGAGGAATACCATATTGTCTGTCAAATATGATGGAGATAATGTACTGTTGTACTGTACAGGATGATACTCTGTCCAGGTTCAACTAAATGTATGAACTTTAATGGGATTAAAGCATGGAATAATACACCGTCTGTTAATAATCTGCCATTAAGCTACAACATTAAAAAAGACCTGTTTTATTTTTTTCTCTGTATAACTTTGTTTTCCGTATGATTGAGAATTCCTGTTTAAAGATAGATAACTCCATTGACCCATAACAGGCTCTTACGCTTCATGAAAACACTAACCCCATCAGACAAAGTCTTGCATGGAGATCCAGAATGAGGGCAAATGATTAATCATTTTATATTTCTTCCATTTTTGAATGAATGCACCGAAAGATGTCACCTTCTCACCAAGCTTCTTGCTGATGGTCTCATAGCCCTGTACAGGTCGACAGTCGTGTTCTTCGACAGCGCTACATCACTAAATGTGATGTAGACTACCCGAGGTTATGACAAGCAAGCAAATAAATGCTAGTGGAATAACTGGTGAGGGTAGTGTTAGTGGAAGTATTAAAATCCATGTAATCCGTGTAATCCATTTTTTTATAATGCCATATGATGACAACTTGTTTACATATGTGAGGAAGAAAGTTAAAAATAAATGTAAAAATGAAAGCTCAGTAACCTTTATGGTCAAATCGGCCTTCTTCATACTATAAAACTAACCAATTAGCTTTACACAGCAATAAAATAACAATGTGTTTTCTTATCTCCATTTCATTTCTTTGAATAATAAACTTGTAACAAAGCTGACGTTGCACCTTTGAAATACAGTATTAACCTTTCTATGCAAAATATTATATAATGTATAGTGTGCAAATTAAACAATTAAATTAAATCCACTAAATGAAAATGTTGAATCAGCAGCATGCTTGAAAAGCAGATGAAATTCCTTTGAGTAAATCCTGACAGTATAATTAGAAAAAGAGCAAATGAGCATGACTTGTGTGGAGACGTTACCAGGAGAGAGCGTCTTCTCTCTACAAAGTACACGGCAGCATTGCTCTTAGGTTTGCCGAGTTCATCTGAACAAACCAAAAGCTTGTGGACTTTAGAAAAACCTATGAGGTCATTCTTGAGAATTATTAATATGACATGCTAGCAGATTCACTTGAACCCAATAATAGATGACACATTAATCTCTTCTTTTAGCTGCTGTTGCAAAGACCAGGAATTATTTTTGGAAAGAATAATGATAAGGAAGTTCGTCGTTCTCATGTTGGTGAAAAAACACTAACATTACTGTGAAATCTATGACGTTCAAGATAACTTCTGTGTACAACATCCTCTCCAAATGTTCATGAGTGGAGATCCAGACATCCAAACCTGGGTTAGAAAGTACCCATCTCACGGTGTCCATGAGTGTACGGAAGCACAGAAGTCACATCTACTAGTGAAACTGGGACATTAGTGAGTACAAATAGGAGAACATGGTAATACTGAACATTGCTATACATTTGTACCTTTGACTTTTGTCTATAACCATTCAGTTTTTCAATGTGATAATTTCGCACAAATTTCATTCAAAGCTTACAAAAATGTTTTAAACAGAAGAGACAAAGCCACAGGAATAAAAGCAAAAACAGCACCGTTGATTTAATAGGACACATTTGAAGATTAATATGGCAACATAGTATAGCGGACATATAAACAGATCAAATATTAAAACTTGCACAATTATATACAGCAATAGCTCTCCTTAATACGTCAAATGTATGCTAACTGAGGCCTGTAGAGTCTATAGCTCTTGGGTTTGTTGCAGTTTCTCTGTGCACGACACAGTCAAACCTCAGGATGAATTTGCTTAACAACTGTTGTCTGTTCTACTATTTTCTAGGTGCTTTAGGAAATGAATCTGTCAATTAGTCACTTTTTAAATGAAAATTATTAGCCTATCACCATAAAAGAATATTTGCTTCACAAAGCACTTATAAACATATTTATGTCTTAGCATTAGTTTTAAAAAGCGGTATCTCATATCTTTATTTCAAGGAATGGCTTGGTCGGGAGCGGTACCACTGCATCCAGACTGTTGGATGACTTCATTAAAAGTAAAGACAGGGTTCCATAAAAGAAAGGAGAGATAGTACAAAGCAAAGAAAGGCATGTCAAAGCATCAAATGTAGATCTTGGAAATTAAACTCATAGCAAAGACCTCCTTGACTCCTGGACAGTGGTTGTTGATCAGTGGTCATGACAATTTACATATTAATGATTAAGGAACTGATCATTGTTCATTGTTAATTCAGTGAAGTAGTTTCAGTCATTATGTAAATGTACTGTTTATTATGTTGGGGAAACCTGCAGTCAGCTGAGACTGAAGAAGTCACTTGGATGAGTGACGAAATGTTTCTTCCACTGAAAACACTACAGCCAGATGAACAGAATCAACCTTTTGGGGTTTAATTAGCAGTCTTGACAATTGAGCATGCATCAAGGCTGCTGATGATCAGATAATCAAGTGCATTTGATCAGCAGCACCTGGCTACTACATACCCTTATAATTCCTTGAAGTCTATCTAGTTTTTCTCTGACCTGTGCGATGCTTGTTTCTTATTCACATGACAGTGTAAACACATATACAGATGGGTCAGCTTAAAAAAAAGCTTCTTAGTGTTGGGCCTTCATAACAGCTTAAGTGCATGCAGACATCAATTTTATAGGTTTCCTCAAATCTACAAGGTTAAAAACTATTCTTCTATAACATGGATATATGTAATAAGAAGTTACAGGGGTGTAGCTCGAGAATATCCTCAACAAAAGGTCTGGAAAGTAACATATTCAGTATAATTCAATGCAATATATTCTGAAGTAGCCTAATAGTTTTAACCCAACCCTTCTTGCTCTGAAGCAACAGTGCTAATCACCTCACAGCTGTGCTGTCCACTCCAAAATACAATTTATCAAATAAATATCGATTACACAGACTAATGAGATCTATTTACCAAACTATAATTCACTGTCAATGTGGTTTTTTGTTGGCAATGATTATTACCAAACACTTAATAGATTTCGTAATGAACCCGGTATCACAGCAGCAATGCAATAGACACGCGGGTCCACCGTGCAGATGTTGCAGTACCAGCAGGGGGAGATAATATATTTAAGGCCAAGAAGTCGCTAGTGAACAATGAAGTGAAGTATGAAGTATACCAGGGTCCTTTATTAGCCAGATTAAGCTAGGTGGCTAATGTGTGTTTACATTTAAATGTGTTAGTAATGTCTGTTCAAATGCGTTCCCATGATTATTTTCATGGTGTCTTGAGATAAAATACCTCCCTCTGCCATTATTGCAAATTACTGCACGTGTGTCCATTTCACTCTTGCAAAGAGTGACACCATGGACCAACATGCCTAATACATGTTTTGGCGTGATGCTGGATGCAGGACGCGCTGTTAAATAATCCTGAATTCTTCTTTGTTCTCTGATGTATTCATTTATAGTCTGGATGACATTTTTTTCTTGTAGCAAACAAAGATCAGCCGACATAATGCGTACATAGGCACTACCAGGCTGGGGACTCCTGCTAAGAGGAAGATAACAGCATAGATCCATGAGGGGTAGGGTATTGATGTCAAAGCTGGAAATTTCTCCTGTAAAAGAACAATGAAAAAAATCCAACAACCTATTATGAGTTTATGCAATAACTTTTCAAACTGGTAAGCTATGTGACTGCTGCCAATTTGCTTATTGTCTTTTGACTTTACTTATGATGATAAATATAAACATTTGGGACGCCATATAATTGCATCAGTGAACATTAAGATACAAAGCAAAACAAAGAGGAGGTGCTTAAGTTGATTCAGTAACTAGGATGGTGGTTGCAAACTTACAGAATTTATGTCCCAGACTAGATAGTTGAGCTGCTTTTGGGCTTGAGTCACCAGGTAGAAAACCAAAATAACCAGGACAATCAGAGGACTGATAAATCGCCACGTAATCTGCCAGAAAATAGAAGGCTTTCGCCCAACCATGAACTTTATGTCCTCGTTGAACCTGCCAAACAAGAAAATTTCAGTTAGCTTCACATCATGTTATACAAAAAATTACCACTTTTTGATGCTGCTTTTCCAAACGGACAAAGAATCTTAATGTCTAAGTTCAGGTATTTCCCTTAATACCTGAACTGTTTGTTTTAGCTTGATATGTGCTGAAATGCCTGCACCAAGCTAACCCCGTTGTTCTTTGTGCTTTGCAGAAAGCTGAGCTACCTTATGCAGCTTAATAGTAGTGAAATGTAAAGCTACTCTTCCTGACACTTTACTTGAGTTTCCAAATATGCAGCTGAAATTAATGGTGTTGGATTGTGTGTCCACAGGTGTTTGTACTTTGCGTCGTAATAAAATGACGGTAAAAGGCTCCGCCCACTTCCTATCCATGTCTTACCATGCAACGACTCTGTGAATGGACTGGAGAAGTGTAGTGGTAGAGTCCTCCGTCAGGAATGAGATATGTGTGTCGACTTTTTATTCTCCCTTAAAATTATTATGCCATAACGCTGCACAGAGCAGCTCTGCTAACAAATGGAAGCACTACTAACCTGTCAATGCCATAGATGTAAACAACAGCTATCATCTCGAACAATCCAATGGTCAGCAGTGGAACAGATCCAGCAAAGTTATCAAAGAGAGTTAACCAATAAATTCCTGATGGTTGTGCAAACAGGAGGCAGATGATGAAGGATACAAAACATGTTGCTCCTAAAAAATAAGAACAATGGATCTTTTGTTAAAAATCCAGCAAGAAACTCTAAAAATGTTCAATTTAAATGTAAAATTCTGAGGAATGCATCAAATGTAGATAAAATAAAATAAAATAAAGCTAAGTTACCAGTCAATATTTCATGGGGCCATTTTTGGGGAAATAAATTAAAGTCTTTCAAAGGGACTACGACTCCTTCAATGTTTCCGAAAAGTGTTGAGAGTCCGAGGCAGAGAAGCATGATAAAAAACAGGACAGACCAGGCTGGGGAACCCGGCATTTTGGTAATGGCCTCAGTGAAGACTATAAAGGCCAGACCTGTTCCCTCCACTCCCTGAACAAATGCAATGCAGATTAGAATATAAAATAATAATAATAATAATAATAATAATAATAATAATATTATCATGGGAACTTAATAGATTTTCATTAAAATAGGCACCTCACTGAGGAGTTTCTGCATGTCACAGGTTTTAATGTCCAGTCCAAAAACAGTATCTGGATTGGAGCTGTTCAGATGATGAAGGGCTGCATTGTAGTTGCTGGCAGTGATGCTGTCTTCAGGGAGTTCAAATCCATTTAGTAACGTCCTGATGTTTCTGATGAGAAATTACATCAGATTAGTAATTCGGGGTTACTATTATCTACTTAAAGGATATGCTTACATATGTTTATAATGGCAATGCACAAATGCAGGTGTTCATCAGGTATTCTTACCATCCCCACAATTGAGTTAAGCATGTTAGCATTTTCTAGTCACATTAAACACATATTTTGCCGTAGCTTGATGTGAATATATAAGGATGTTGTGGTGCTGTGTGCTGACTGACAAACCAGCTGGTGTCATGTCTACAGGCAGACTGCTTGCAATGATGACGATCTCATTAGACTGACTTTAAAACCTTTGTACCTATAACTGAACACTGTGAAGTCAACAAAGAGGATAAAAACCTTTACAACCTTAACTCAATGTTTTGCAGAAAAGAAGCTAATAGTTCTGTTGTGCTAAAGCCAGAATGTTTGTTTTTTACAAGACTTGGGAGAAAATTTTTCAAAAGATGCAAATTACATTTGCTGAAAGCATGGTGTTAAGGGGTAGGGGTACCTGGACGTCACAGGGTTTTTAAATTCCTGGTCAGTAAGTTTAGTGCCTTTTACCAAAAAGTAGTAAACTTTTTCAAAGCCTTAAAATAAGCTTTACTCACTCGTTGATACAGGTGTCATATTTCTCAGTGGCCCTGAAGCCAATGATGGAGTAGGTCACTGTGGCTGCATAGACTGAGGTGAGGCCAGTTACCACAGACAGGATCACAGAGTCTTGCACACAGTTGTTGCTTTGGAAATTAAATGTGCAAAAAGAACAAGGAAACAACAGCCTGACTTTGGTTTTTAGAACATTTTTCAATGACTTATTTTGCCTATTTTTTTTAAAAGAAATTAAATTAAAGTGAACAAAATGTTAAAAGTGCAGTTCCTTACTGAACAGGGTTGTAGCTTGAGAAGGAAATCAGCCCTCCCCACGCTAAGCCAAAAGCATAAAAGACCTGTGCACCTGCATCCAACCAAGTAGTTGGATTCATCAGCTCTTCCACCTGCAAGAGGGAGACACACACTGACATGTATTTCTGACCTTTAAATTCATACTTTAAAAAAAAATCAAGATTTGAAACATACATCTGGTGTGAAGAGGAACTTTATTCCACTCAGGGCACCTTTAAGAGTCAGTCCTCGGATCAGGAAGATGGCCAGCACTATGTATGGCAAGATGGCTGTGATGTAGACTGCCTGAGGACAGAAATGAGAGTGGAACAACTTGTGGGATGGAAATGTAGCTATAACAATTAGCATACAAAATTTCATAATTTACAATGCTTTTTCTTTCTTTTTTTTGTGGAAACCTATTCTGGTACTTAGCTTAATGCTATCAATGCATCATATTAAATGTCTTTTTAAAATTCCAGATGTTAAAAATACATTAGATTAATCAGCTTTGTGGTGGAAGTCTTCCACTTTGGTGGTCTAAGAATCTCGTCACTGCTTTTTGCCGATGATGTGGCCCTGTTGCCTTCATCAGGTGAAGACCTCCAGCTTACTCTAGAGCAGTTCACAGCTGAATGTGAAGCAGCAGGAATGAGAATCAGCACTTTGAAATGAGAGGCCACGGATTTCAGCTGGAAAAGTGAGCAGTGCCCACTCTAAGTCAGGGACGAATTACTGCACCAGGTGGAGGAAGTTAAGTATCTCGGGGTCTTGTTCACGAGTGAGGGGAGCGAGGGATTAACAAATGGCTCTGACGTGGATGTGGACGCTGCACCGGACTGTTGTGGTGAAGAGAAAGCTGAGTGTAAAAGCGAAGCTGATGATTTACTGGTCGATCTACATCCCTTACCCTCACCTAAGGTCACGAGCTCTGGGTAATGACGGAAAGAATGAGATTGTGGGTACAAGCTGGAGAAATGAGCTTTCCCCAAAGGGTGACTGGTCTCTCTCCCTTAGTGATAATGTGAGGAGCTCAGTCATTTGAGACGGGCACAGAGTAGAGCTGCCACTCCTCCACATCGAAAGGAGCCAGTTGAGGAGGTTCGGGCATCTGACTAGGATGCCTCCAGGGGCCACCTGGGTGATGTTTCCTGGCATTTCTTTCCGGACCCCGGCCCTTGGGCAGACCCAAGACATGTTGGAAATGTTATATCTCTCAGCTGGACCAGGATTGTGTTGCACTTCCCCAGATAAGGAGGAGATGCCTAAGGAGATGGAGATCTGGGCTTTTCTGCTCAGGGTACTGTCCCTACGACCAGGCCCCAGATAAGCAGAAGAAAACTGATGGATGGATGGAGGGATGGATACTCACGTTAATGAATAAAATAGGAACATTGGCAGAGTAAAGAGTGATCATTTTATTTAAGGTTCTACAAACCTTGCCTGAAGTACTGATCCCTCGTATGCAGCAGATACAAACAACTGTCCAGGCAGCTAACAGACATATTATAATGGGCCACTGGAGTCCTCCAGAGTCTGCTATTGAGTTAGAAGCATTCAGAGTGACTCTGTAAAAGTAGTAGTCCACCGTGGAGCTCTGCTGGCATTCTGGTATAAATCCTAAAGTGGGAAAAAAAACCCACTCTTAAACATAGCAAAACAGATGCTATGATTTGTGTGTGTGGGATGAAAATCAGTGTACAAATACCTGTCCTGTTTTCATTGAGAGGACAATTAGTCCAAGGCAATGGATCTTGAAAGGAATTGAAGAAATACCACATGATCCAGGCAATTAAGGTGTTGTAGTACAGGGCAACCATAAAGGACACTAACATGGAGCCAATACCTGAGGGACAGCATTAATCATCTATCATCACAATCACTAAAAACCACACACTGGGTATTTTTGGTTTTTTTGCAGGGACCATTTTACTTACCAACACCTGTCAGATATGGGCTGATGGCCCGCCACACTCCCACACTGCCTTTTCTAAGGCGCTGCCCAATAGCAAACTCTAGCAGTAAGAGAGGCATTCCTTCTAGCACCAGCAGAATCAGGTAAGGAATCAAAAATGCACCTGCAAATATATTTAAGTAGGTTAGAGATTGTTAGTATATCATTAACAGGTGAAAGTAACACACAACTGTTTTCAAGCACAGAATTCTGGGGAACAACTAATGCCATGACAGACATACACGACTGTGGGTGTAAGTCATGCACATGAATGTTTTATTCTCAAATCAGTGCTTTATTAACTGAATTAGCCTGTGCTATATGAATAAATCTAAACTGCCTCTAACCATTCACGCGAACAAACAACGGCCAGGTTCTCTTAGAAAATTTAAATACCACCACTAATACTGTTACTACTACTAATCATCTTATTAAAATTACTTATCATTGCTGGATGTCATCATTTAAAGTCTAATTTCTTTGCTTTTTTTTCTTAACCACAGTGGTTTTCTCATTTCGGTCTAACCGACCATGAGATGTTTTCTTGTTTTTCTTGTAGTCTATTAGTGTTTTAACATATCGGGTTTGATGTCCAATCTTTTTCTTACTTGAGCCACAGTGATCATCTCAGGAAAAATTATATTCAGAACTTTCATTTTTTCAGCCAGAGGCTCTTTTTTTTTCCTTTTACATTTTTGAGGCTTTCATCACTCCAATGGAAAGCTGCGCTTCCTCTTTGAACTTAATAATTTCAGTTTCTGCTTTCTTGGCATGGTGATGCAAGCTCCTCCCTTGCTACATCATCACCACTTTCTTTGCTTCACCTAGAGGCAAGTGTGTCTATTTAATGGAAAAAATCGGATTTGGTTCAGAATGATTCAGATTCAATTTACGCATGATGGTAAGAACAAAACAGACTGCTTTGCGCATTTCATAAATTTGATGGTAATTTTGTCATATTAGACATATCAGTAAAAGAGGGCCGTTGTACGCTGGACAGAAATAAAACCCAAAGTGCAGATGTCTGGCCATTAACACAGCATATGAGCCCAAAGACCTCATACAGTGGTGGAGGAACAATGATTTGTTGATGAACAGTACCTGAAAGTCACATCCTGAATAAATAGAAAACAGATCCAGCAAGAACTTGACACAGGACCCCAGAGATACGTCTAACCCTTCAGTTTATCCATGTACATGAAGGCTAAGTATTCCAAATTACACAAGAAGTGGACTGATAATCAGATTGTGTGGGTTCATTTTTGTTTTTTGAACAAGGCTCTGAGTTTGTTAAATGAAGTGTTTTCTGTTAGTCTACATTTTAATGCTTTATGTTTTTGACAAGTGTCCGTTTGTCTGATTCTGTCTGATAACGCGACAACACGATGAAGTGTGTAGGAACTTAAAAATGTTCAAAATTCGACATATTTATGATAATTTAAAACATCTTCTAATAAAAGTTATTAATAGCAGTTAGCCATTTGCAACTGTGTGGCCCTAAAAGTTAGATATGCTCTTATGTACAAATACGATGGGCGACGTTTATCACTATGGTTAGTCATAGATGTGTTTGGCTATATTTAGCACTTTTTTTTTGTAGGCTAAAAATAAGATTTCGTGTCAGTGCAACCTGAAAGGTCACATTGCTGTTTTGTATTAATCAGTATACACCATCACTATTGCACAGAAAGGACACTCGTTGCTATAGCTCATGATACTGTGCTTGAGTTAACGATTTAAAAAGAATGATTAAATTACAAAATAAATGCATATTTTAAAAATATTTGAGTGCAATAAGGTAACTGCATAAAAGTCAACACCTCTCATTACATAATTAAGATTGTGTTTAAACTTAACCAGCTGGACTCAGGGGACATCTTGGTGTATAATCATTAATGCAGCTTGACTGCAAACCTAAGGGCACTCTCTTGTATTAATGAATTGGTGACAATTTAACTCCATTTAAGTGTTGGTACAAAGGTCAAGTGATTTTGTTGCAGTTAAAGTTTTAATTATTTAAAGAAAAGCATATTAATATTATTAATAATAATAATTATTATTAGATTAATATTAAAATTACTTCCTGTGTACCACAAATACACATTTTTTAAAATCAGTAAATCACTAAATTGTCTGATTATTAACCAGATATGTTATCTTGCCCTTTCTGTCTTAGCTTACCTCCTCCATGACTCTGACATAAGTAAGGGAATCTCCAAACATTACCCAGACCGATACAGAACCCCACACAGGTTAGTATATACTGAGCTTTGTTGTCCCACTTGGGTCTGTCTGCAGCCTCCTGTTTTTCCATCCTCTCCAGATCTTCATGCCTGGGGATTCTGAGATCCAGTCCTGGGTTAGGAAGTACCAGTCTCATGGTGTCCACCGTATACTGAAGCGCACGTTGTGTCTACTGCTGGTGAAGCGTTTGTCAGGGGGGAGTGCATGTGTGTGCGCCCCCATAGGCTTGTCGGGTAATCATGAAATGATTTATGACCTTTACTTTATCTGCAGTGTTGGGCAGATTAACCAGACACAGGCACACTCTGTACTTTCTCCTTCATTTGTAGCCGTTGAGTTTCTTAGTTTTATTACAAATTAGTTAACAGTCTACATGAACATTTAAAAGAACAGAAATAGGAGCAAAACCCATTTCTCTTGTTGCTATGGTCAGAACTCTTTTTTTATTCTAAGCATCAGTTTTATTTTCATCACTTTTTGTAGCACATTTCTTCTCACTGAAACACTAAATCATTGCTTGAACCATAATCTAAACTGAACCACAAAGATTTTTAACTGACTATAACTGTTTTTTAATATCTATAGCTTATATTGATTGGCATTGGGTTTTACCCATGTCACAATTATCGGCAATCAGCAAAACACACAAACGCACAAAAAGCTGCAGTCTTTAAATTTGTGTTGTGTGTATTTAATCATTTTAGACTTTAGTACAGTGCTTAATCTCCTTTATCAGATGTTTTCTTTTGCTAACATAAGATAAACAGAATAATCTTATAATAAAATAATAATAATAATCTTACTATAATAAGGGTAGCATATGTATGTATATATGTCTGAACAAAATGTTAGACAGATATCGTGAAACGCATGGTAATTATTAACATTTATGTTTTTAAATGAGCGTCTATAAGTTCATTTCATCATCCCTACAAATGTTACGTTTTCCCTTTGTGTTTGTATCATGTGCCATAATCAGCATTCATCTCCCGTGCAGAACTGAGACTGAAGACAAATTTGTATCCGGGGCTAAATTTTGTTTGAGTGAGCACTTATTAGTCACAACTAAGGAAATGAGGGCCACTGTGGTTTGGGCAGACAAGACCAAAGGGGAGATGACTGAACATAATGCAACCAAACCAAACACAGCACATCAACATAAACCAGGGATCGGCAACCTTTCTGATGATGAGTGCCATCTAAAATTTCCTCAGAAGTCAATGTGCCATATGATTGCATTAGCAATGAATTTAATAACGCTCTATATTAACAGTTACACGCTATATAGAACCACTTTATAGAATCACATTTGTTCGCAGATGTTTGCAGTTATCAGCTATTTTGAAACAAAAAAAGACACTTTTTATCCATAACAAGAACTCCATAACAGCAAATGAGCTGTACGACAGAAAATGCAATGCTATTTATGGTCTCCTCACAACAATGATAAGAAAAATAAACTGGGCCAATATGGCATGTTTGTTAGTACAGAGATACACATGTTAATGTCAGGTAGTGATGTCCAGCAGGTGAAAATGCAAGCACCATGAACACGCACAGCTATGGATTCCAGCTGCGTTCGTAGTTCTGCAAACTTTGACCCCCACAGAGAAGGGCAGGGCAATATGGCCAAAAATATTTATCACGATGTAGATTTGAAAATTTGCGATAACGATATAACTGACGATATAATTGACACGAAACAAAATACAACTCCACAACTTTATTAGTGGGAAAAAAAACCATCAATTTCTTCTTGTTTAAACAAGCAGCTGTTTATTTTAATGTGCATTACAGCCACACAAAATTGAACAGTGGTTATCCTGTTATATACATGGTTATGGATAACCATGTATATCCACAAAACTTAAGAGGTGCTTTGCAACAAAAGTGCAGTGTGCAAAATCAATAAGTCAAATAATAATATTGCACAAACTCTTGAGTAAAAACAAAACAAACAAAAACATAGATAAATTATGCTACATTTTCTACATTTCAAGTTTTAAGATTCTTTGTCAGAAACACTAACATGTTCACAGATGCGGGCTTAAGGGAGGACCTTTGACAAGTTACATCATTTCCACCTGTGCTGAACAACCTTTGAGATGCAGAGCTAGTTGCTGGAATGCAGAGGTATTCCCTAGCTAATCTGCTGATGTGGGGAAAGTTTACTGTGTGAACTTTCCACCACGAAAGAGGATCACACTCACTGTCTGCTGGTGGACTATTCACATAACTGCGCAGTTCAGATGATAACCTCTCTGCAGTTACCTCTATCTTGACACTAACTGGTCCCTTCAAAAAAAACTCCCGAGACTCTTCTTTGGCTTTTTAACAGCTCCCTGACTTGTTTGGTCTTCAGTAGATATATGAGGTGTTTCTGAAAAACCTGTGGCTGTGCTACCCTGGTGTGACACAAGATGCTAGTTCACTCATGACTTGAACTTTGATGGCTTCGCTTTCACTCTCACAGAAATATTCTGTATGAAACCGTGGATCGAGGAAAGAAGCCATGTTAACAAGCCTCTCTGTGACACTGTCTTTGTAGCTTTTGTTCATGTAATCAAGTATTGCTATTTTGATGTCTTTGGTCAGCTCAGTGTCACCTTCTTTTACTTTTAACATGTCATTGTTAAACATCTGAAGAACAGGCTTAACACATGAAATGGTTACATACTCTTCAGCAGAGAAAGCATCTGTAAACTCCAGGAGTGGACTCAATGCAGTGCTGACCAAGTCAAGCACTTCAATGTCTTGCCATGGCAACATGAGGTGCCTTGTGGTTTTATCAGCTGCTAAGACCTGTGTTATAGCTTTTTCGTGTTCCAGCAGCCGTTGGATCATTCTCTGCTTTGAACCCCAACGAGTGCAACATTCAGTTATGAGTTTGTGTTCTGGTAGGCCCAGTTCCTTTTGGGCAGCCTGCAGAGCTTGCTGGCACTTCCAGCTGTGGCCAAAAGCAGCAACAATCTTCTTTCCCACTCCAACTGCCCATTTGATCCTTGGCTCCTTCACACTTCTTTCTAAAAGACATACATTTAAAAGGAAACACAGTTCATTACTCAACAGCAATATCAATGCGGTGTGGAATGTGTGACATTTAAGTTTTATGTATAACACACAATTATTTACACACACATATAGACACACATATTTATTAGGGGTGCAACGATACTCGTATCGATATTGAACCGTTCGATACAGTGCATTCGGTTCGGTACGCATATGTATCGAACAATAAAATATTTTTAATTTATTTTATCAACTTTTCTTCTGACGATGCTGTCTGTGTTGAGCGCTCAGTGGATCTGCGTTCGACTACTCCGCCTAGACTGCACTGTCGAGTGCAGATCCACTGAGCGCAGCGCAAGCTAGCAAGACAGAAGCTAAGCTCGTTGCAACATGGCAACTACCTCAACGCTACCCGAAATTGAACCTCCCCCACCCTCATTCAGATCTGGCGTTTGGAACTATCTTGGTTTTCATGTGAAACATGACCCTGATGGTAAGCGCGTCATGGACAAAAGTAAAACAGCATGTCGTATGTGCCACGCAATGCTCAATTTGTGGGAACTAGTGCGTTAGCGCAGTTAGCTTGTTAACGTGTTGACGCCGTCCAGCCCCAAGCACAGGGCGATCCGCGGTAACTTGTTAACGGAGATTTGCCGCGTTATGGCTTTAATGTCATTTTAACGAGATTAACGCTGACAGCACTAGTGGGAACACAACGAATATGACTGCACATTTACGCCGACATCATCCTAGTGCAAAGACAAGTGGAAGCAGACAAAAACGACAAGCATGCTACAAACTTTACCCGAGTCATTTAGACAGCCGTTAGCACATGATTCTCCTTATGGGGACCTGATATGTTTAATATGCTGCTGAAAGTATATGGGAATGGTTGGTGATATTAAAGTCCTGTTTGTGGCACATTAGTATATGTGAGGGGGCAAACTCCTCAAGATGGGTGGTGACCATGGTGGCCATTTAGAAGTCGGCCATCTTGGATACAACTTTTGTGTGACACATCAAACTTATTGGTAATGTCACAAGAAAAACAATGGTGTGCTTGGTTTCAACGCAACTTTATTCTTTCATGAGTTATTTACAAGTTTCTCTTTGTTCACAGCCATTGACACGTCGAAGAGGTTAACACGTGAGGAGCAGATCAAAATTGTGTTGATATCTGGTGAACGCAGTAACCGGGTCATTGCAGCAGATTTCAATGCAAGACACCCTACGAGACCACCCATCTGCCATGCTACAGTTAGCAAACTGCTTGCTAAGTTTCATGAAACTGGTTCAGTGTTGGATTTGCCAAAATGTGGATGCAAGAAAACTGTCACTAATGAAGAAACATCAGTGGCTGTCCTAGCTTCATTCAGAAAGAGCCCACAGCGTAGCACTCGCCGCATGTCACTGGAGAGTGGCATTAGTCGAACATCCCTTCGGCGGATATTAGCTACTCACAAATGGCACCCTTATAAACTCCAGCTACTGCAGCATCTCAACGAGGATGACCCAGATCGGCGCACAGAATTTGCAGAATGGGCAAATCAAAAATTGGAACAGGACCCTCAGGTCACGCAGAAGATTTTGTTCAGTGATGAGGCAAACTTTTATGTGAATGGTGACGTTAACAAACAAACCCACCGCTATTGGTCTGACACTAACCCACATTGGATGGATCCCTCCAAGACTGTTGGAACAACAAAAGTGATGGTTTGGTGTGGTATGTGGGGTACAACGATAGTGGGTCCATTCTTCATCTATGGAAACCTCAAGGCCACTGGATATTTGAAATTTCTACACGATGATGCATTTCCCTCTTTATGCCCGGAAGCCTGCATGTTCCCTGAGTTTTTCCAGCAAGATGGTGCACCACCACATTATGGGTGCCAGGTCCGAGCATTCCTAGATGAACAGTTTCCTGGAAAGTGTATTGGTCGTCGTGGGCCAGTTGAATGGCCCCCAAGGTCTCCTGATCTGACCCCCTTAGACTTTTATCTTTGGGGTCATCTGAAGGCAATTGTCTATGGTGTGAAGATACGAGATGTGCAGCACCTGAAACTACGGATACTGGATGCCTGTGCTGGCATTTCTCCTGCGGTGTTGCTATCAGTGTGTGAAGAGTGGGAGAAGAGCGTTGCATTGACAATCCAACACAATGGGCAGCATATTGAACACATTTTATAAGTGGTCAGTAGCTTGTAAATAACTCATGAAAGAATAAAGTTACGTTGAAACCAAGCACACCATTGTTTTTCTTGTGACATTACCAATAAGTTTGATGTGTCACATGGTCCTCTTCCTACTGAAAAAACAAAAGTTGTATCCAAGATGGCCGACTTCTAAATGGCCACCATGGTCACCACCCATCTTGAGGAGTGTGATGGCCAAACCCATGGCCACACTCTAAAGTCGGTAACTTTTGTATTTTCATTCTTCATTTGAACATAGTAATACATTTTAGTTGCCAATAACTTTATTGATTGGTTTGGATACATTTGTTCTATTTGTAAGCGCGCACATTTAGTTTACTTATGTATTCATACTACTTCATTTCTTTGCTTTCTGACTAACTTTTGTCTTTTTATTTCTTACCTGCCATTATCCCTGGGAGTTGCTGGACAAAAGATGGTAGCCAGGGTTTGAAACCATTAAATACAAAGGAAGATAATTGGACCACACCACCATTTCCTGCTGAAGGGGGGAATGTGTGTTTTCTTTACTTTAAAAACAAAGTATTTGTATTTAATTAAATATTTGAGTTTAGGGTTTAATGGGGTTTTTTGATTTTCTTCTTTAGTGTTTAGTTTATTAATACTGCATCGTTTGTGATTTATGATTGTGTTTTGTTTGTTACCCCTCATGTGTCACAATGGTCTGATCAGCCATTATATATACCCTTGTATGTCATTTCATGCTTAGGTCAATTATGTGTGTTTGAGCAGTCATTTGCCTGGTTAAGTTTGCAGTCTTTGCCTGAGTTCAGTTTTGTTTCTTTGACCTCTTTTATGAGCTCAACATTTATTACTTTTGTAAATATAATTTTTTGGGGTTAAATAAATGAAAATTATATTTTTCTAATAATTCCTGGGACTCCTCCTGTTTTTCAACTCGGTCCATCACAAGGAGTTTGCCCCCTGACATATACTAATGTGCCACAAACAGGACTTTAATATCACCAACCATTCCCATTTTATTACAGTGTATCCATATAAATGGCCCACCCTGTATATATATCTTGCAGCACAAGTACCCACATTCAGAGATCAATAACACAAACAGTATTATTACCATTTAAACTAATACAATAAGTGCTTAATCTGACGTTATAATTAACTTACCTATTGCAATGTGCAGGCGATGTCTGAAGCATGAAAGTCTGGTCCAGTTGTTGAGTGCAACGGCTTTCACAATGTTGGCCCCGTTGTCTGTCATCACACACACTTGTTTGAGCTGAGGAACTCTTTTAAGACTTTGGCTATATTTTCCCCAGTATGGTCCTCGGGGAAAAAAACTTGTTTCGAGGCACTTGTTTTGTAGCTTCCAGTCTTTGTCCACATAATGTATTGTGAGGCTCATGTAGGGGTCCAATGTTCGGCTTGACCACATGTCCGTGGTGGACGCACTCCACTGAAGATAACGCATTTGACACCTCAGTACTTTAGAGAAGTATTTCTTGGTGGGTAGCTTGTAGCGTGAATTGAACGTTTTAAGCATCTTTTTGAAACCTTCTCTTTCCACACTATGAATAGGCATCATGTCCCTGGCTAAACAATGTGTCACTGCATTAGTTAGTTCCCCCCAGCGTTTGCTAGTTTTGTCATAAGGCATGCAGCTATTTAAAGCTACGTTGATTGTTTGAGGCATTTTGTTGGGTAGATAGCTTGGACTGGGAGTACTGTAAGATGCTAGTTCAGATTTGCCGCTACCACTCCCCGGAGTGTCGGCCGCATGCGGCTTTTTAGTCTTTATTTTGCGGCTCTGGGTGGTTTGGGAAAATAAATTAGAAGTATTTAGCTGAAGTGTATTTTATTTGTGTTTAGTTCTTTTTTTAACTTGTACTTCTAAATTGGAAGATTGTTGTGATTTTGAAATATAAAAATTTCATTATATCTTATTATTTTTTCATCGCTCAAAATAAGCATCACACTCGCGGAAGCCGAAACGCCGTGCATTTATCGAGACTTTCGACCCCAGGTAGGCCAATTATGGATCTTCATATCCACATTATGTCGGCAGCTATTCTCCACCGTGAACTACGTTAAAAACAAACACCGCTCACGCCCCACAGATGACAGCTTACAGTCCTGCGTAAAGATGAAAGCCCAGATTTGCAGATGCTGTGCGCAGAGGTTCGGGACCATAAGTCTTATTGTAAACATATCACGACAGACCCGACGATGTTTGCATGAACATTCTTTTCAGCATCTCTTTATTGACCGCTTTTCACACACGGTTGCTGTACGCATACAGCCGGCTGTAGCTTTTCAGCTCACAGCCCGACACATACCAACACAACAGCATAGAGAGCACAGACTTTAAGGTGGCGAGGCGTGATTACGGGTGCCGCTCAGGTAGACCACGCCCCGCCACACACATTAACCAGGTAAAATACATATTTAGGCATAATTTTGCAAATATCTTTTTTTTTTTTTTTTTTGCCGCATAGTGCTTTTTTCCAATTACTTTTTAAAAGTCAGGTCAAGGCTCCAAAAGCCCAAAGGCGATATAAGGGTGGCGGCTCACAACAGTTTTTGTTTGCTACATGGATCATTTTAGTTCAGCTGGGTGTCTTTCCTTTTGTTATATTTCTTTAAGAGTTCAAAATGTGTTAATTACATAAATAAAATGTAATTTTCTCGGTAGCACTTCATGGATTTCATAAGCAACACTTTAGTTGCTCTGTGGATTCTTTTAAAAAGCAATTAAAAACTTTTCTTTTCAAACAAGCCTTTTGTTGATCTACGTATTTTATATTCTTTATTTACATTTGATCTTTTACATTGTGTATAATGTCTGTTGATTGTATTGTTTATTTTAATCTTTGTGTACAGCGCTTTGTGACTGCCTTTCTGTGAAAAGCGCTTAATAAACTTTACTTACTTACTTTAGTTGTTCATACAAAGAATAAAGGTAAAAAAAACAATATATGCAGTGTTATCTTCATTTTAGATGTCAAAAAGTATTTGCGGCTCCCAGTGTTTTCTTTTGCGTGGAAACCGGGTCGAAGTGGCTCTTTGGGTGTTAAAGGTTGCAGACCCCTGCCATAGGCCATATATTACCCACGACTCACGTATAGACCCACTGAGAGAGCTAACCCAGTACACAGTTATACCCAACCACATGGCAGGAGAGTTAGCTTAGCTTAGCCTAGCGCCCGCTAGCGGCACAGACAGAAACATAGTAATTTCCCCCCTAACCTCAGTTACAGTCCCAAACACATCTTATTATCACATCCTCACACATCACAAACTTAACGTTGCTCATTAACGCACACTTTTCACGGAATGACCACTTCTCTGCTGGTAATCCGGAGCAGAAAAGCTCAGGTGCCTTGCCCACGTTTCTCCCTGCCCATAGTCTCTCTCATACAAAGCGGTAGGGTGACCTCTACTGGCCACTCTAAAAAAACTACAGGTGAACTAACAACTGAACAACAACCGTAACTACGGGGCCTTTTGTACAGCCGCCCCCAAATGTATGGAGTACATTTGCTCACAACAAAAGGCAACTTTACAAACAAAGTCACTATGATTGCCTTCTGTCTTCGTCCGGGAGGGCAGGCAGTGCCACCAGCCTCGCCACAGGTCGGGTGAAGGTCCTGTCTTTCACCTTGATGTCAGCAGACCTGATGTGCCCGTCTGCACCGGGGTGGACTTTGGAGATGCGACCCACGAGCCAGGAAGTGCGAGGCAGCTGAGGATCTACGATCATCACCACCAAACCTTCTGTGACATCCGCGGGGGATGACTGCCATTTCTGCCGCAGCTGCAGGCTTGGAAGGTACAGCCGGATGAATCGAGACCAGAAGTGGTCAGCCAGCACCTGCTGAACACTAACACCAAAAACTCCATCTCCGCATGGCGGAGGTTTCATCATGGTTTGGGGTTGCTTTGTCCCAGTTGCCTTGCAGCCATCGATACTGGTTTCATGACCAATTGTTATTGCTGGGTGCTATAATACTTCAATGAGCCAAAGAACACAGTGAAAAAGACGAGCTCTGATGAAGAGTGATGTACAAAACATTCCAGAAATACTGAGAAACTGAAACACTTTTACAAAAGTCCTGCTGCTCATCGCAGAACTTTCACGAGCGGCTACTGAAAACATCTCATGGACGCTGCTAAAGAAAGTATAAGAGTTAATCAATTCAATATTTAGTAAGTCAAACATATGACATGATCGGTGTGCTCAGTGTGTTCAAATAATGACATGAAAAGCTCCGTTGTTTGTGCTAGTTTAGTCAGACAAAGTTTATCAATAGTTGTGCCTCAAGTTAGGATCAGTGCAGAAATTTCACAAACCTTTTCTTGGAACTGTACATCACAAGGTAGAAGTTTACAACAGTCCGCCTTAAAAACACAATAACCAAACAACACAAAAGGGGGCTGAATGGTAGCGAGGCCTGTATTCTTCGTTTTTTTCCAGCTTAAAAAAATCTAAGACATTATTACAGTGTGTAAAAATCTTACTTAATCCAAGGATTATTTACAAAATATTAAAATAAACCTCATGTATATAGAGGCACTCGGCACACCACAGGAAAATGCAACATAAAGTGTCTGAGTAATATGCCGGGTTGCCACGTGACACCAAAGCATCTTCAGTTCATCTTTGCATTGATTGAATGAATGAATAACATTCTTCTGAAAGATTTAGTGACTGCAAAGCCATCACTCTAGGGAACGATGGTCAGGATTTGTCCCATAATTAGTCAATTGTCTGTATTAGACATACATGCGTGGTACATTTAAAATATCAAAAGAATAGTTATATATTCAACCACTGACTGGTTAACTTAACATTACTACTTTCTGTGGGTACAGGAGAAACATATCAGACCGGCTCACCCATTTTTTTTTCTTTGTGCACTCCATACAGATGCAATCTGAGAACATGTTAATTATTGAGCTTTAGATGTTTGTAAGCATATTTTATGAACAGAGCAGGTCAACCTGTTTCCTTCTGCCAAGATAAGCTAAGCAGCCATTGGGTGTCCTGTAGCCCTATAATAAATCTCCCAAAGTGCACAATCATGCAGAAACTAACTAACAACTTAAAAATACACATCTGTTTTTCAAAGATAATAGTCAGCAGTCGCAATCTTGTGCATAGAACACATCAATAAAAGCAAGTACACATCAGTCACATTAAACAATCAAGGCGACATCAACCTAGAACTTTGCTTTGCCGTTCATTTCTATTTTGGCTGAGATAGTGTCCACTGGGTGATCTTTGTAGCTTTTGTCCTTGCAGCACTTCCTCTGGAAAAATTTAAAGAGCGCAAAAATGGGGATGGCCAGACTGGGAATTCCAGCAAGGATAAAGATGATGGCATAGATCCAAGAGGGATAGGGACGTGCTTCCAGTATGGGAAAGCTCGCCTGTGATCGGGATCAACAAAAAAGTTACATTTTGCAGCACAAAACATCAAACTACATCTTTATTCCTGCAGTTACTGTATGTAAAAACTTGTTGTAAACTACTGTGAACAACAAACTTACCGCTTCCTCGTCCCACACCAGATAGGTTAAATCTTTGGTGACTTGGGTAACAAAGTAGAAAATTAGGATGAAGATCATAAGGAGTGGGCTAATCACTCTCCATGTTGCCTGCCAGAAAATATTGGGCTTGTGGCCAACCATAAATTCAATGTCCTTGTTGAACCTGTTTGAAAGCAATAAGAGGGAGACATACATACGTGTAAAAATCATCCATAAAAGGCAACCTTGTAGATTTTATTAGTTACAGTAAATAAAGCATCACATGTCACTGTTTGCTCAACTGGCTGATACCAAAGCAGACTGTAGTCTGTTATTTTTCTCTAAGCTAACTTTGAGTCCAAATTGACAACATTAAAAGATGTATATTACACCACCTTTTTTGCACCTTTTCTTCTAACTATTAGATAATTGTTATAAATAAGTCAACTTAACTGCTTTCATGTGCATGGTCAGAAACTCTAAGCCAAAAGTACATTTTACACATTCCTCCCCTTGCTGTTGCAACATTAAAACACACTTCTGCTGTGATGAGTTACATTATCTCTACTGCAAGGTCAGAAGGCAACGCTTTGTTTGAACTCTAACAAGAACTGTTGGTTGCCTCACTGAACACTGACCTTTTCTGCCTCTTATGAAAATACCAGGAAAGCGAACTTTCCCATAATGACAAGTACAAACATGATTCTGTTTAGATGGTCGGATGTTTGATAAAGTACCTAGAAGGTCATTACTTTGGAAGCTGACTCAATGATCACCTAAGGACGGGCACACTTACCTATCAATCCCATAGATGTAGATAACTGCAAACATTTCACAGAAACCGATGATTAGGAGGGGGATTGAGCCTGCAAAGTTGTCAAAAAGAGCTAGCCAGTAGTTCCCAGAGCGTAGGGTGAATATGAGCCCAAGAGCAAAGGATATTAAGCAAGTAAGACCTGAAAAAACAACACAAGCAGGCGGTTACAATCATACCCAGTTTTCCATGGTGGTTATGAAGAAGTTCTCAATGTGAGAAAGTTACCAGTAAAAACTTCTTTAGGCCAAGTTTGAGGAAGAACTCTAAGGTCTTGAAGGGGAACCACCACTCCCTCAATGTTCCCAAACATAGTTGAAAGGCCGAGACAGAAGAGCATGATGAAAAAGAGGACTGCCCAGAGAGGTGAAACAGGCATCTTGATGATGGCCTCTGTGAAAACGATGAAGGCCAGGCCCGTTCCCTCCACACCCTGAAGCGGTACAGGGCAAATCTTTCAAGTTCTGAATCGATTTTGAATCATTTTTGTGACACTCAAACTGGGCAAATAATCAGGGAATTAACAGGATACAAAAAAATAAAGGCTCCACTGACCTGACTGAGTAAATTCTGAATGTCGCAGGTTTTTAAGGGCAAACCTTGGATGATATCTGGATTTGTCTGATTTAGGCTGGTCAGAACCTGATCGTAGTTCTCTATTGTGATGGAGGTTTCAGGGTAGTCAAAGGCATTGATGAGATGCAGGATGTTACTGAAAAAAAGTAAGAAAAAACTCATATGAGTCTATCTAGATACAAGTAAATCTCACTCTCTCATTTTTCCCCCTATTGTAATGTCATCTTTTGTGCAAACTGAAACTCACTCTCCCTGGCATTCATCAAATTTCTGCGTTGCCCTGAAACCGATGATGGAGTAGATCACCGTTGCAGAGTACACCGAGGTGCAGCCATTGATGATGGAGATGAGAACGGCGTCTTGCTCACAGTTGTTGCTGCAAGTAGATTTTAAAGGGACATAGCGTGAGGACACTTGCTGGACAGTGAGTTCCATTATGACTGTGTAATCAAGACCTTTACTCACTGAACAGAGTTGTAACTGGAGAAAGAGATGAGGCCCCCGAAAGCCAAGGAGAAGGAGTAGAAAACCTGAGCTCCTGCATCCAACCAAGTCTGTGGATTCATTAACTCATCCACCTAAAGAGAATCCAAAGATAAGCATTCTTATTGAGCTGTGAGCAGATTTCTGACCTATACAGAATTTTAAAACGGACACTTTCCCACCTCACTGGCTGTTGTTAGTTAATAATCTAAGAGGGTACACACAATGCACAATTGCACAATTGTCACCAGGTAATTTGGCTTTAAAGTGCCTATCTAGATTACTTATGTATTGGAATTTACAGTACTAACTGTGCTGCGTTTCAGCCTTCAGTATCAGCTTTTATATCAGCTTTTATCAGTCCTGTGATAAAGGTTTACTGCTCTCATGTTTCAGGCCTGGGTGTCTTAAAACGGCAAATAATAGCTTAAAGAAATAGGCTTGTATCTCTGTAAGTACACTTTCTAACAGTTATATAACCATATATTACTGTAATGTCTGTGCAATAAATATGAGCCTTCAGCCATCTAGCTTAGCTAAGCATGAAGAGTGGAAACAATGAGGTCCAGGTTTCACTGACGTTATTGAGTAATTCTCCACAGACGTTGTAAAACTGTACAAAAACCATAATGACAAATAAGTTCATCTTGTCCCTTCTGATTCTTGTGACATGTGATACATTGAACCCTTACATCTGGTGTGAAGAGGTACTTTATTCCCTCTGTAGAGCCTTTGAGAGTCAATCCTCTGATGAGGAAGATTGTGAGGACAAAATATGGGAGAGTGGAGGTGATGTAGACAGCCTGAAAAAAGAAAGATGGCACGTGTATATCTGAGCAAACCTACATGTAAAAATCACTTCCTTTTCTTAGACATTGTGATTTTTCAGACCTTGCCAGAAGTCTCAATGCCACGAATGCAGCACACATACAGCAGAGTCCAGGCAGCGAACAGGGCCAGCACCATCCACCACTGCAAACCTCCAGAGTCATCAATGGCTGCTGAAGTGTTCAGAGTCTCTCTGTACCAGAAGTAGTCAACAGTGGTGCTCCGTGCGCACTCAGCCACTAAACCTGCAAACGGCACAAGCAAGAGCAACTTGATGGCAGGCTAATCATCGCATAACGTTCTATTGTAACCTCTTGTTAGATGAAGGCACACCTGTGCTGTTAGCATTGAGAGGGCATTGGCTCCAAGGCAGAGGATCTTGAAAGGAGTTGAACAGGTACCACATGATCCAGGCCATGATGGTGTTGTAATACATACCGACCAAAAATGAGACAAGTAACGATGCAATGCCTGCAAAAGAATGAAGAAAGCAGTGGAAAAACTCACAGTGATTATCTGCTTAAGATGTGGGCCATGTTTGCTAGCTTATTTTAGCATGACAGCATAGTAAGTGCTATGTTTATATATGTTACATATGATATATGCTTGGCAGGAATTTGGTCTCATTATGGTGCTCAGTGTACACTTAAGTGATCCCAATATTGAGTGTTTTTTTCTAAATGCTTGGATAGGAATGATTACTCGGTCTGTATTTTGTATTAAAACCTAGCTTGAGTAACCGTTGCTGCAAAAGCAAACCTAATGGAAGAACAGAACAATTCCATCCTCTAAAAACTCTAAATTAGTTAATACATGAGATATTTAGCCATTACGGGAATTATAACTTATTGCTGTCTGTGGAGCCATTTTGCCAACATAGACACAATAAAACACAAAGATACGAAGGCGCACACACCCACACACATGCATGTTTTTTTTTGTACACACCAACTCCAGTCAGGTAAGGGTTGATTGCTCTCCACACTCCCACGCTGCCTTTTCTCAGGCGCTGACCAATGGCAAACTCTAAGTGCAGCAGCGGGATTCCCTCCAGAACCAACAGGATAAGGAACGGGATCATAAACGCTCCTAAAAGCACAACATTCACATTCATAATGAATTAGCAAAGTGGTGAGATTTTCACTTTGTTAGACACTTTAACAAAGGAAACTAAGCACAAAGATACTTGTAAACTGTGAAAAGCAGCTTTTTATTAGCTAAACTAGGAACTGTACAAACCAAGAATAAGACTCACACATTACCTTTCCCATAGCATTTATCTCAAGAAAGACTTTATTTTTTTGAGTTTCATTAAATAGAAATAAAATTCAATAAAAATCTAGTCAGCATCTATATCTGATTATTTATGGTGAATAAAACGGGCATTTCCATAATTCATACCGTGGGGTTCTTTGTGTTGATACAACATGTCTGCATGCTTTGTCCTATCACTTGGTTGTAACCTTTTAACAAAAGCATTTCTCAAATGGTATAATTTCTTTCTAATCACTAAAATCCATAGTGTCCTTTTGTTAGCAAAAACAAAGTAAATCCACTGATATTTTCTTTTGTGGCATCTAGTCTATATTCAAATATCTTTCACATCTACTGCCCCACACGTCCCTGCATACCTCCTCCATGGCTTTGACACAGGTACGGGAACCTCCAGACGTTACCGAGTCCCACGCAGAAGCCCACGCAGGTGAGGAGGTACTGGGCTTTGTTGTCCCATTTGGGCCTGTCCCCAGCCTCCTCGGTTTCCATCCTTTCCAAATCTTCATGAGATGGGATTCGGTCATCCAGTCCTGGGTTTGGTAATTTCAGCTTCATGGTGGCTTGCTGTAAACCTCCTCTGTGCAAAAAAGAAATTGGAAATAAGAGCTTCTGTGTCTCTCTTTAATAAGAAGTTCTGTTACTTTTGTAAATTTTTAAGCAACTGAGAGGATTCAGAAGTAAACCTCCTCTGTGCAGTCGGCTCCTGAGTCTCCGAGGACTATCTCTCTCTCTCTCCTCCCTCTCTCTGAGTCCTTTATCCCTACTGTGTGTCCAGGTGAGGGACACTGAGGCATTTACTGTGACCCGTTGCACCTAACTTGTGGTTATCAGTCACTTGTCTTAACCTGTGTTATATTATATGATGTCAGCAACTTTAAGCGGAAAAAGGTGCAACCTTGTTCTTAGTGGTTAATACATTACACGAGATGCTGCCAATAACCCTTTCCCTGGGCGAAGAGTGATTGGGTGAATTCTAATAACGGAAATGATACAATATAAACCTCTATCTTTACCATCGGGTCACGTTTTTGTAATCCCTGATAAACTAGATGGCTTATTTCTTGCTACAATAAGAACATTATTCGGTCTGTGAAAGTTCATTTGTGACTTATTTTAAATGATAACCATTAAAGTATTTTTAAAATGATCACAGAGTTGTGGAAGTGATTTTTTTCTCTAAGTTTATACCATGTTTACCTCACAGTATGATTGTCAAGTAGTTCACGGCCCTTGTAAACCTTATCAGTGTTGCTCTCTAATGTAATAACTAACTAATGAAAGGCTGGCATCAACATTTACGGAGTGGTGCATTTCCACTATCAATGTAAATGGCAGTCACACTCAGGGAGTAAAGTGGGACTTGGCTAAATAATGGGGCGGTAGAAGGTAAATATTAAGGTGGAGTTTGGAAAGTGTCACTAAAGAAAATCATCAGATTAACCCTTGTGTTGTCCTCGGGTCATTTTTGACCCTAAAAGAACTCTTTTTTTTTACCATGTTGTGGAAAGGAATGACCAGTAAAACAATGCATATATTGTCCTCCAATATAATGAGGAGGAAGAATCAAAGGAGGATCCAGGGTTAGAAGATAAGAAAATATTGCCAATATTTAGACCACATGCTACACAGCAAAATCTCCAGTGTTAAATTAACACTAGAGAGTGTCTATATGGGTCCACACCTCTGAGTGTTAAATACAACACTGTTGAGTGTTAAATTAACACTTTTGACAGTGTTATATCTTTAAAAGTAACCTAGTCAGTTTTAAAGATTAACAATGGCTAACACTGAGCAGTGCTGATTTTCTAACACTGGAAAATAACTCAAAATGTTAGAAATATTCCAGTGTTAGAAAATCAGCACTACTCAGTGTTAGCCAAAAACAAAGGAAAAGCTCATTTAAATGAGGTTTTATCAGACTTAAAAAAGAAATAGTGTCAAAATGTTTGAATTAAGTTTTAATTGGGTGAAAAATCCACTTCATATTAATTAAGTATCAATCAAACCAGATGGGGTCATTTCTGACCCCTGAGGACAACAGGTGTGATTATGTGCTGCTTTAAAAATTTGAAATGCTTCAAGAAAAACATTCTCACTAAAGTTCAACATACAGCACTCTGTGGTTAGTCAAATAGTCAAAATAATCTAAACATTTAAATATTTTATTGTCTGATTTTATTTTCGCTAAAAAACAGGCTATACTTTATGTAAACAATTTCTGGTGGCCCCAAATTGCAAAATGAAAGGTAAATTTTGTGGTAATGTGTTGGTCTTAAGCTAAACTAAGGTGTAACACTGAATTGATTGACAATTTGTACTTTGTACTTTAAAAAACACTCAAATGAACTGGGGTCATTTTTGACCCCTGAGGACAACAGGTGTATTGCTTCACCTACTGTAAAGCATTACCTTTTATTTCAGTGGTCAACAGGACAAAAACAAAACTACATGAACAGAATATCCCATCAAATCTCATTTTAAAAAAAGACAAAACAGCATTTTCCCCTGGAAGTTACTTCTACCATCGCCTTTGCTGTTGCAAAATTCTGTCCAATTCAGAATTCTTTCAATTCTTTTCCAAGCCCTTCTCTATGCATACCACCGTCCATCACTGTAAACTGTACCGCAACACAGCAGTCCCAGTTTAGCCTGCGCTAACTACCCATGTACTTCTTAATAACATGAAATTATTATAATGTAATTTGTTTTTAAAGACATTTCACAATATGAAATAACCAGATATCTCAAGCAGCACTTTGTGTACACATCCACTGTCTGACTACTTCAATCTAACATGGAGTTTCCCATTGTTGCTGCTTTGTAAAATGTCTGTTGCTGAGCAGTTCTTGCCTCTGAAGAATAATCTCTTTTCTTCCTCTCTTGACCTCTTTGTCTTACATCTTTCTCTGAGAGTGAATTTATTACACGCTGCTTTTTTTTTTTAATGTGGAAACTGCAGCTACAGCAACCGTGGCTTCCCTTTTTTTTTTTTAAAGCCTGTGCAGAACAATTTGTGACATTGGTGATATTTGCTGACCTGTGAGAAATTACCTGCAACTTCAAAAAAAAAACTTACTCCTCTTATGCTCACTCCCCACTGCCTGCTGCAGACCGAATCATCAAATAGTTAATAGTTCATTTGTGCATGTGAAGTCAGCAGGTTACCATCAGTAATGTTAAATGCTTCACTGTGGGGGTGAAATAGCATCTAAATGACTGATTCTTCCACTCTATTCATTTTTTTGTCTTAGTATCACAGTGACTCTTTTTCTTAATATTACATTTGTCTTTCATCACAATTCTTTCTTTCTTAATAGATCCCTGCCTCCAGGATTCAGTGTTTTTTCAGCATCATCCATCAATCCGTTCTCTTTCACTCATCCTTGACAGGGTCACGGGGGCGGGGGCTGGAGCCTGTACACCCTGGACAGGTCGCCAGTCTGTTGCAGGGCTAACACATAGAGACAACCACTCGCACTCATATCCACACCTATGGGCAATTTAGAATCACCAATTATCCTAACCCCACTAACTGCACGTCTTTGGACTGTGGGAGAGAACCCACGTCGACTCCACACAGAAAGACCCTGATGGTGGGATAGAACTCAGGACCTTCTTGCTATGAGGCAACAGTGCTATGTTACAGCACTCTAAATTCAGGATTTTATTTTCTTTCTTTTTTTTAAAGGTTTGTCATCATGGGACCATGTTAAAAGACAATACTGGATGTCTTTTTGAAAGATACATGAAGCTTAAAAGCACTTAAATTATGAAGATTTATGTTACATTCAGGCTGTCTGTGAAGAAATGTGTAAAATAATGTTTTTTAAAAGTCAGATTTGAGTATCAGTCATTTTTAAATGGAAATCACTAATATAATAAAAATAATCTCAAGATATTGCTTCATTAAAAATATTTCATTTGCTACTGTAAAAACTATGCTTTCTTTAATTCAGTGTAGATATGCTGAGAGAAAGTTATCCAAATGTATCTATGCACGTATTTCTAACAGATTTGGATCAGCATGTGGGAGTAAAAAGGGCAGCGCAGCACAGGTAGTTTGTTCATCTTGTCACAAAAGATACAAAAACCGCTTTCAACCTGCTGTTTTCAACAAATTAAATTGTACAAAATATCTAAAACGATTTGTACAGAACACAAAACTCACAATATGTTAACACAACCTCACACACCCCTACATCCGTTTACCCAACCAGACGGAGGTCTGAGCTTCTCTCCTGACTGACCCAGGCTCAGATAAGCAGCAGATTATGAATTGATGTCATTGCTTTTTGCATGGATAGATATCAGTGTCACTCATTGAGGCATCAAAAGAATTTGGCAAACGTTCTTTGGATTTGAGGGAAAAAAAGACATTTTTGAAGGAGGAACAGGATGCTCTGTGGTGTTCTTGTGCTTGATGATTTTGGCAGAAACAGTGTTGAGCTGTAGCAGCATATTTGGAAGAATAGAAAAGAAAATCTAACAACTAACCATTTAGGACACTTAGGTAATCATCCTACAGAAAGTGGTGACGCCTGCAAATCTATCTGATAATCCTAACCACTAATTAACAGATCACAGACCAAAGATAAGCAGGATCAATACGGATGACAAGGATTCATTTTCTAAAATCCTAAACAAACACACTTTTCCAATAAAGAAACAATGTACAAACTAGCACACTGACACAGGTATTCGTAAAATTTTGAGGTCTTGCAGAGGAACCAGCAGTCCTTCTGTACTTCCAAGCATCGTGTAGAGGCCGGGGCAAAACTTTATGGCCTCTATGATTGCAATAGAGGAGAAACTGTTCCCTTCAGACTCTATAAAACAACCTGCGGTGCTTCACTGACTTATTTACAGGACAAGCAATAAAAAAATAACAAAAAAAACAATGATTAAAAATGGCGTCTTTCCCACTGTTTAAGGAACACCACTGTATTAGTGGACTGATTGGGAAAAATCAGCAGCAGAGTGTGGGACAGAGTACGACCATGCAGCGTTTTAAAGCTTGGAAGTACTGACATTACTTTGAGTTTGATTCCATTAAAAGTGACAAAAACATTGGCGTCCGCTGTACAATATGCGTGGGAAGAAAACAAAAAATGAAACTTTCAATCTGAGCAGGCAGCTGCCACGGGAATGTGAAATTCACAGAGAAACCCCTGGATCCCCCCGCTGACATGACTGGTGCAGCACCGGGCAAACCTCCACCGGCCCCACTCCTGCTAAACAGGTGAAAATAGATTTAAGAGCAACAGGACTCAGTGCCAGTGAATCTTTGATTTTATTTAATTCTTTGTTGTATTTTACTTGCATCTATTTGAAAGATTGAGTGTAAACACAAAACATTATTTGATTTTATGTGCTGGAATACGCAGAAAACAGGTTTAAATGTTAAACAAACTTCTTCAATTCAAAGACTGTCGCATATAATTTAATGTTTGCTTGATGCATAAAGTTAAAAGACCGAAACTAATAAAACAAGTTTTAAAAATAGACTTTTTCATTTGATTCAGTTTTATATGAAGGATTATGCAGAAAAAATAGAATTGGGCTGGAAGGTCTATTGCTAACCTGTATTCAGGTTGTGTGTCACGTTTTTTTAAAAGTAGCTAAGTAATAAAGTAACTAATTACTTGTGAAAATAAGTAATCGATAAAGTAATGGAATTACATTCTCAGAGAAGTAATCAGTAATTAGCAACTAATTACTACTTTCAAGTAGCTTGACCAATATTGATTATTACAATTGCCTCTAGAAATCTCTGGAGATCAGCTGAGTGTTTGTTAAATGAAATACTTATAATTAAATA